AGGGGGCCTCGAGGAAGGCAGAATCTCCAGTGAATAGTATCCAATCTGCCTAGGTGGAGCTGATGCAATGAAATATAGATGGGTCTCTTGTGATACAATAGTGAATAATTGAGAATGTAAAGGTAGACATTTTATAGTAAGGAAGGGAATAACTTTTCAGTCTAGGAGCGGAGGTCTCTAGGACCATCAACGGAGAAGAGCCGAGAGAGGGAACCTACCCAGAGAAGCAGTGCTGCTGAGATGGAGGCAAAGACAATGATGTGGAGAGATGAAGCAGCTGGAGACTTTAGATCCAGAGAGGGAGAGCGAGTGTGTGCTGAAGACTGGGGCCGGGGGGAGGGCAGGCTTATAGGTATACTCTGGTTGGTTGATGATGCATGGGGGGGGATTGTAACCATGGCAATGATACGATGTATGATAGAATGAATGTAAATCTAATGTTCTCCCATGTAAACTATTGTATAATTCACAATAAAACACTTTAAAAAAATGAATGAATTATGAAAAACGTAAATGATAAAAATAAAAAAAAATAAAGGAATGTAATTATATCTGTCAGTTATATTACGGAAATACTTGACTTGAGCAAATTAAGCTGCCATGGGAAGTAGTGAGGTTAGGTCATCTGAGTGTTAGGAGGGATGCTCGCCTTAAGGACGTCTAGCTGTAAATTACGGGATTTGTGATACTAATAATTCTATCCTATAGATGCATAAACCTTTTTATTTTTTTCATTGATTTGCTAAAACATTTTTATCAGCTCTCTCCCAAGAAATAGAAAAATCTAAAAGTAAGTGAAATAGCCTCTATTTTTTAGTCTCTAATATGTTGTTAGCAATTTTAGGAAAAGTGGTTTTTGTGTAGTGGTTCTTGAAGTATAGTTTGTTGCTACTAAAAAGGATTATATGAGCTTTGTTTTTTTTTCATTGCTGCTTTAGGTTGACTATAGACAGAAAGCTGCTGCAGCAGGTAGAATTCCCACAAACTATCTTAGAAGAGAAATTGGTTCTTCTGATAAAGAAATACTTACAAGTCGAATAATAGGTAAGATATGAACATAGAAGCAGTCACCTTCTCTAATATTCCTGTGTTAGCATCTCTTCTCTTCCATTTGTGTTCTGCTCCTCGTCCACTACCGTCATGTTGACTGTGACTCATTATCTACGCTGTAGGACAGAGGAGAGCTGCTCCCTAGGGTCTTCAAGACTAAATCCGTACTGGAGCAGACAACTTCACCTTCCTCCTGCAGAATGACTGATGAGTTTGAAACACTGACCTTGCTGTTAGCTGCCAATGCTTAATGCATTGTGACACCTTCTCGATTTCTTCATTTTGCTTCGTTAACACTACTGCTGTTGCTTTGTGTGCCGTTGTGTCAGTTCTATCTCATAGCACCCCTGTATGGGGTTTCCAGGATTATAAATCTTTACGGTAGCAGAGCAGCTGGTGGATTATTGTACTTTTTTTTGTTAGCTACTGAATTCCCTGTACCTGGCGTACTGCCTGGTACAGAAGAGGCATTCAGTAAATACTTTTTGACTTAATGAATGATTCTATTGATCGTGAAAGTTCTATAGTCCATCTCTCTATTCAGTTGAATCTGCTCCCAGTACTTTTTTTATTTTCATGTTCAACACAGTAATTCCTAAAAGCATTCTATTCATCAACTACTAAAGTAGACTGGTAATGCCTCAAATCTCTGACATCTCTAAATAGTGTGAAATTTGTAATTATTGCACTCTAGATTAATTGTAATCAGTATTTGTGAGTTCAACTTCTGGACAAAAACTTGCCTTGGAATCTGATGGTGAAAGCCTCAGAAATTGCTATTTGTGTATTCTTACACACATTTCATCAGGCACAGATTATCAATGAAGAATTTTCTTTTGGTCTTGTCTTTCCTCTGCTCTTATGAGGGTAAGTCAAAAAGTGTTGCTACAAAATTACAGAAACATTTATTTAAAAAAAAAAATCCAAATGTGAAACTACTGTTTCTCAGTGTATCTTCCATCCACTTCTGTACATTTCTGAAGGTGGTGTTTCCATCTGTCTTCACTCTTCCCAAAGAATTCTGTGCTCTTTTCTTTGATTTACATCATGTCAAATGGCAGTTTTAGCATCCTCAGAAACTCAAATCATGTTTCTTTTAAATTGTCTTTGAGTTTGGGCAACAAAAGAGTCCTTCAGACTCTTTTGCAAGATTTGGGCTGTATAGTGGGTGCGTAAGGTTTCCTATTACCCTTGAAGGATGAGTCAGTACATTTTTTGTGTTAGAAAAAAAAAATTCCTCCATACAGCTTTCCTATTCTTATTACTTACGCAGCTTTCCATTTTCCTAAAACATCTTCATGATAAACCCCGCCCCATGGATGTCCTGTGTCCTTTGAGAAAATCTGTCAAGAGTTCCGTGTCAGAATCCCAAAAAGCAGTTGCCATAAGCTTCTGAGCTGACCTCTCTGCCTTGAATGTAAATGGCACAGCAGATCCCCTCGGAAGCTGCTGTTTTGATTGGACCTGTGTTTTTTTAAGCACCCTATGAGTCGGAACCTTGTGGTACAGTGGGTTATGTATTGAGTTGCTAACCTTAAGATTGGTCGGTCATTTGTTCAAACCCACCAGCCCCTCCATGGGAGAAAGATGAGGCTCCTGTAAAGATTTACTGTCTTGGAAACTCAAAGTAATAGTTCTCCTCTGTCCATTAGTGTCACTGTTTGTTTAACAAGATTAAGGCAGAGTATTACTGAGAGAATTTGTCTGCACCCATCCGCTGATCATAGAGATAGGTTTAAACATGCTTCTGAAATAAATCCATGTATGTTAGAACTGGAGCACTAGAAGTGATGCCTTTTGACTTACCTTGGTATAGGTAACATGCCTGTGAAACCAAAATGAAAAGTTGCTCCATAGCCTTAGACTGTGGCATGCTATATATTAATTGAAGAAGGGACATCTGTGCCTCTCTTAAGAAAGTTGGTTCATTAGGATAGTTAGTTTTTGGTTGTTAGGGTATATTGCTGTTGTTAAATACTGTTGAATCGATTCTGACTCAAAGCAACTCTGTATAGGGTTTCTGAGGAGGAGCTAGTTGGTTTGAACTGTTGACTTTGGTAGGTCATTGGGATAATTTTTATTCTTTTTCTTTTTATCTGTTGGACAGCTTAGCAAGGTTTTTAATGAGGGAAATCCTTGAAATGTAAAGTATCTCCTGACAGTACTGTCTAATGCTTTTGTCATTCTTTTGACAGATCGTTCAATTCGACCCCTCTTTCCAGCTGGCTACTTTTATGATACACAGGTACGTGTGTCATAAAATGTGATTTAGGTTTGTTTAGTTCTAACCCAATCAAAAATTGCTTCTTGAACTCTGTAATACCTCCCAGGTTAAACATAAAGAATGTAATATAAAAATTCTTGATGATACTGCTGCATTTTGCATTAAACTTTTTGAAAAGAATGAAATTTTCTAAGCTAAGATTAATTTAGTGTCACTTTGAGCTGACCCCTGAATTATGAATAGGAGTTAGCTAATCAGAATATGGGATGAGGAGCAGACCTAACTGGGGCCTGTAGGTCATGTTAGTATCAGAACCTATTGTAGTCAGCACAGCTAGTCTTTATTACTGGATCTGCTAAGCCTCTATTTGATTGTTTGAATACTGTCTAGAAATTTTCTTTCAGTATAATGACCCATGTACTTTATTCAAGTAACCATGTTATTTATTTGATGCAGATTGATATATATCCTTGCTTCATTTTCCCTCCTAGTAACACTTTTACAAGGATGCCCCAACCTCAATGAAGTTATTTTCTGAAGTACTTACCTTACACACATTGTTAAAGTATAAAATAATGTATTTGTATTGTTTTGTTTCACCTGTGTTTAGTTTTAAAAGACAAGATTAGTCTTACATAATAGAAATAACTAACATTTACAGAATACTTGTACATATGCATAGCGCTTTGCATGTAGTATTTTACATAGTCCTTGTAGGACTTCTTTAAGGAGCATGCTATTTTCCCTCATAAAGATGAGGAAACTGAGGCTTAATTTAAATAATTCACTCAAGGCCAAGCATTTAGTTAAATCATGATAAAGAAGTTTGACTACAAAGCTTAGGTTTTTAACTATATAAACCCAGTTGCCAGGGACGGTGAGTCCATGTGTGTAGAATTTTTGCCCTTTAGGGTTTTCAGGGGCAGACTTTTAGGTAGTAGATTGCCAGGCCTTTCTTCCAGGGTGACTCTGGGTAGATAATTCCTCTAACCTTTCAGTTAGCAACAAAGGACATTAACAGTTGTACTGCCCAGGGATTCATACTTTTATACTTTAGACCAATATGGTGGTGGTGGTGGTGGTGGTGGTGGTGGTGGTGGTGGTGGTTAAATGCCGTCAAGTCGGTTCCAACTCATAGTGACCCTGTTTGTACAGGGTTTCCAAGGCTGTAAATCTTTACGGGAGCAGAGAGCCTCATTTTTCTCCCGCGGATCAGCTGGTAGTTTCGAAGTGCTGACTTTGCACCTCGCAGCCCGATTCGTAATCACTACGCTACCAGAGCTCCTTAGACCAATATGAAAGCTTGGTCTAAACAATACAGCTCCCAAACCAATGTAGATGACATTTAAAATGCTTTAAATGTTTCCTCATATACTAGGTCCTTTGCAATCTGTTAGCAGTAGATGGAGTTCATGAACCTGATGTCCTAGCAATTAATGGTGGTAAGTATTCAAATAGAGAATAAAATTAACATTGTTAAATTTCAAAAGAATTATATATTTTAATTTCAGCTCTTTTTTTTTTTTTTTTTTTTTTTTTTTTTTTTTTAAGCTTCAGTAGCCCTCTCCTTATCAGATATTCCTTGGAATGGACCCATTGGTAAGTTCCAGTTTGTAAATAAGAAACATTTGTATATTTCTCAGTAAATACTAGTCAGCAAGGACGTTGGCCCAAATTTACTATTTCTTAGGAGTTGAACCAAGCTGGCATTCTAAGATTCTATTCAGCTCTTTCAGACATTTTTATCCTTGACTTAGGTTTTATTTTTGATAACTATATGTTACAATGTTACAGATTTTATGTCCTTAGATACTTGGATTTCTTAGGAGCCTTTCTGTTCAGAGAATTTTTCTTTATTGACTGAGAAATTGTGAGTGTGTACTATGCCAGGTCAAAACAAGCATTTGTTTGTAACTTACAGTTCATTTGAGTTGTAATCATGCAATATAAAAATGATTCATATTGTAAATCATTATTAAGTGTCATAAGTGCTAAATATCTAAGCTAAGCACTAAAGTAGAGGAGGGGAACATTTGGCCCATGGATTGTATAAGGCCCTCAAAATCATGTAGTCTGACTCTACCAAAACAGCCACAGTCATAGTCATCACGTTGTTGTTGTTGTTAAGTACCGTTTAGTCGGTTCCGACTTATAGCGACCCTGCACAGGGTTTCCGAGGCTATAAATCTTTATGGGAGCAGAAAGCCTCATCTTTCTCCCATGGAACAGCTGATAGTTTAGAACTGCTGACCTTGAGGTTAGCTGCCCAATTTGTAACTACTATGCTACCAGAGCTCCTTAGTCATCACATTAGGGTTAAGTTAATTATATGTTTGACCAATTTTTAAGTTGATAATTTTGCATGACGAATGGTGTTATAAATTTTGGCAGAAAAAAGGTTTCCCACCCCTGCAGTAAAGGAACAAAATGAAACTAGACATTGCCAATACAGAGGAATGAAGCATTTGTGCTTTAACAGTGACGAAGGTGGTGCCCACTACCATTACAGACATTTTGATCAAGAGCTCAATAGATGAATGCTGCTCAAAGTGGGAGGAAGTGGGGCAGGAGGGGATATGAAACTGAATTTTAAATTTCTTATACAGTGCAGGCTTACTAGACTCATTGAGACTAGAAGAATCCCCAAATCTTTTTCTATGAGAAAATTTTTTTGACCTTGTACCAAAACTCTCCTAAAGTCATCTTCAAAGCTAAACAACAATTAAGCTGAATTAGTAAAGTATACTCACCTTGAGCAATGTGCTACTTAAAGAATTATCTATATAGAATCAAAAGGAGCTCTGGTAGTGTAGCGGTAACGAGTCGGACTGCTAACTTCAAGATCAGCAGTTCACATTTACCAGGTGTTCTGGAGGAGAAAGATGAGGCTTTCTGCTCCCGTAAGGATTGGCAGCCTCGGAAACCCTGTGCAGAGTGGCTGTGAGTCTGAACCGACTCCATGGCACATAACCACCAACACCATATAGAATCAGAATGACACCAGTAACTAAAGCATAGACTAGAAAGAAGTTTGTGGAACAGTGAGTCTTAAGTCAATGGTGCTAAGATAGAATGGTGACACGAAATAATGTAATCAGTGTCATTGAACTATACATGTAGAGGTTGTTGAAGGAGTGCATGATTGGCTATGTGTATGTTAACCCCAAAAAGGGAATCAGATAATTATTTATAAGCAGTAAAATATATTAAAATATATAGACAGAAGGCTAAGAAAACATTTTATTTTGTAAGATCAGGTTGACAAGGTGACCTTCTTAGTTGTCAGTGTTTAAGCAAAAGCTGAGTAGGATCAGATGGTAAATATTTTCCTTGGAGGAAGTGTAGTCTAGGTCAGGAGGCCAACATGAATGTAATCACATAGGTATGAAAGAAGTGGTGGATTTGAGCAATTCGCAATGGGCCAGTTGGGCCAGAGGTAAAGTGGGGTAAGATGTTCTGTGGTCCTTAAGTCAGAGTACAGGGTGAGGGGCAGACCAAGCTGGGCCTTGTAGGTCATGTTAGTATCAGAGCCTGTTACAGTCAACACATAGTAGAAAGGTGGATTTTATTTTGTGGCCATAATCGAAGATGGAAGATTGAAACCTTCACTAGAGTCATGGCATGAAAATGGGAAGCTTTATTAAACAATTGCCAATATTTTAACCCATTTTAGGGGCCGTGCGAATAGGAATAATTGATGGAGAATGTGTTGTTAACCCTACACGAAAAGAAATGTCTTCTAGTACTTTAAATTTAGTGGTTGCAGGAGCACCTAGAAGTCAGATTGGTAAGTAATTTAAGGACTAGATGTAATCTGGATTCCACAGATTCTGGTTTTGTAAAAATGCCTTCTGTGTATGTTTTATGATAGAGCCATAAAGAATTTTTGTTTTGTTTTATCTCTGTCCTATTTCAGCACTGTACTTGCTTAACAAATACTACTTAAGTAGGCAAGTAGCTGTCCAGCCTTCTGGAAGCCAAGGCTGAAGCTGAAAGCATTTTTTGGTTACTCTACTATGAAAGAAGCCCGGCTACAGAGTTTCCCTGCTTTATACAAGAGTTTTGATCTTAGAAAAGCAGAAACAAAACCCCTAGTTGACTTTCTTAAGAAAAGATCACACAAAGATGTCCCCAACTATACTATAAAAAGAAACATTTGGTGGACACCTACTATGTGGGATGTTTCTAAATTTCATTTTATGTACATGAGGTTTCAAAAAGTTCATGGAAAAATTCATTATATTTTAATTTAATTTTCACCATGAGGTTTTTGAAGCCCTATTATATTGAAAATAAATGATTGTACACCTTAAAATAATCAATTATATGGTATGTGAATTATATTTCAATAAAGCTGTTACTGGAAACACCATGGCTCAGTAGGTTAAGCACTAGACTTTAAACCACAAGGTCAGTGGTTCGAGCCCGCCAGCTACTCCATGGAAGAAAGGTGGATTTTTCTGCTCCCACAAAGTTTTACAGCTTCTACAGGATTGCTGTGGGCCAGAACTGACTCAATGACACTTAACATCAAAGCTGTTGTAAAAATATAAGTGCATCCATAGTTTCTTTCGTTGTTTTATGGGAAATGCCTCATTAAATATGAGAGATTGCCCCAAAACAAAAGCACTTCTGTCTCGTCTGTTCCAACTCATAGTGACCCTACACAGGACACAATAGAACTGCTTGTTAGAGGTTCTGAAACTGAGTCTTTACAGGAGCAGACAGCCTGAGCTTTCTCCTGTGAAGTGACTGGTGGATTTGAACCCTTGGCCTTGTAGTTAGCAGGCCAATGCTTAGCTCACAGCACCACCCTAAATTTAAATAACAGGATTTCTCTATTCCTTTATTGTGTTTTGGAAACCAAAAGGTGCTTATACTGTTAAGAATAAAAAAACTCACAGTATTTGTGTCATGCCATGGTGTTTGAAATGCTGTGTTGGTAATAGGTTCAATGGCAATCATCTTTTTTTTTTCCTTAGTCATGTTGGAAGCCTCTGCAGAGAATGTTTTACAGCAGGACTTCTGCCATGCCATCAAAGTGGGAGTGAAGTGTAGCCAGCAAATAATTCAGGGCATACAGCAGTTGGTAAAAGAAATTGGTGTTCCCAAGAGGACACCTCAGAAGTTATTTATTCCTTCACCAGAGATTGTGAAACACATTCATAAGTAAGAACCTCTGTTTATATAGTAGAAACTATGAAATTGTTACCACATTTAATTTCCTCTCAGAAAAAAACTTCCCATAGGATTTCTGTTCATGCATTACTTCATAACAAGTACTTTTCTATTTTATAATGAAGCATTGCTATAAGCACCAACTCTGATGCTTAAACAAGCTTGAACCTACACCTTTCCTTCAAGCTTCTTGCCCTAAATTTGAATCTTAATTAAAAGTGGGAGTAAGTATATTGTTTAAGATTCAGATAATCCCTATCTAGCTCTCTCTGTCAAGGTGAAAAGAATACAGCGTATCTGAGATGGTGAATGAACTTCTCAAAAGAAATCTTGTGTAACCTCCAACCACCACATGCCCACATTCCTGATGTGAAGCTGGATTGCTAACCACCAGCTCGACAGTTCAAACCCATGAACCTGTCTTCAGAAACCATCTACAGGGTCACTATGAGTCAGATCCAACTTGATGGCACTTAACAGCAACAGTTAATACTATGAGCCCAGTACCTTAGAACAATGCCTGGTACACAGACAAGCACACAATTAAAAAAAAAAAAGAATCACTAAAAAACTGAAAAGTTAATATTTTTCCTTAGCAGTAGTCTCTTGGCCATTGTTCAAAATTAAAGATAAACATAAATTGTCCCCAATCATCAAAAGAAATTCTTGCAGTAACAGAATGAAATGGATAGAACACAAGAAACCGAGAGATTAAGAAGTATGGGTGTGGATCTAAATAAATGTTAAGTGGAAATTAATGAACAATTAAAGGCAAGAATAATGGAGAGCGTTTAGCACAGTGTTTTGTGTGGTTCTTTTGAGCGGTAGAGAAAGAAGTCTAAAAGCAAGTTCAAAAATGAGTATCTGTTAGTTAAATGTAAATTTAAATAAGCACATTTGAAATAGTCTACCAAGTCTCCCAAACTGGTGCCTTAATATGGTCATGCAGAAAAATTTAAGACGTAATTATAAACAAGCCCTCATTGGGCAGAAAATGCAGAATGTGATGATAACATGTGCAGTGTGATACCTGTGAATGCTGGCACCTGTGTCACGTGGAAGCCTGTGTACAGTAGACAGGGCTAAGACTATATCCTGTCAAAGATGAGACTCAGAAATGCAAGGCAATCCAATCAAGTTTCGGCTGTCACAGGTTTCAGTATAAGTTGTTCAGTGCTGTCAAGTCCATTTTAACTCATGTCGACCCTATATGGGTTTCCAAGGGCCAGCTGGTGGGTTTAAACAGCCAGCCTTGCAGTTTGCGTCCTAGTGCTTATCCTACAGCGCCATATATGACATGCAAAATCCTTCCTAGTAAGTAACATTTTGTTGCTTGCTAAGTGCTATTGAGTCAGTTCTGACTCATAGTAACCCTTTATAGGTTTCTGAGGAGTCGCTGGTGGGTTTAAACTGCTGACCTTGTGGTTAGCAGTCCAGTGCTTATCCTACAGTGCCACATTTTCCATTTAAAAACCCATAGTGTTGTTATTAAGTATCATCGAGTCAATTTTGACTTAATAGCATCCCTGTATAAGGTTGCCAAGGAGCGGCTAGTGGGTTTTACCTGTTGACCTTGTGATTGGCAGTCCAACGCTTATCCTGCAGCACCATACCAGGACTCATTAAAAAGTGCAAACAATACAATACATATTCTTCTAAGATTTCAGTCTTATCATTGATGGATTTGTGTGTGTGTGTGTATTCTGGCTTTGAAAACATGTTTGTGCCTTGTCTGTCTAAGATTACAAAAATACCCATTCATATTTTTTCTAGAACTTTTGTAGTTCCATTTGATACACTTAAATTCTTTTTTTAAGTGAGAATTGGGTTTAGGATTTTCTGGGGTCTTTTGTTGGTTGGTTTTTGGTTTTTTTTGTTTTGTTTTTCCAAATGACTAAACAATTGCCCATAGCACTCATTGGAATCCTGGTGTGGCCCTGGGGGTTAATGCGTTAGACTGCAAAGTTGGTTTGAACCACAAGGTTGGTGATTCAGGCTCATAGTTGGTCTTCAGAATCCTATACAGGGGCACTATGAGTAGGGATCGACTCAACAGCATCTAACAACAACAAATAGCACTAATTTTAAGTAATGCATCTTTTCTTCGTTTAATTAAAATGTTTTAAAAAAATGGTATAGTTATGTGGCTGTTGAAGAATTTGTTTTTTCTTATAAATACTAGAATTTACTATAAATTTATTATAATTTGTGTCTTATATAATAGCAAACATATATAAAAGTAGCAAATAAAATGTATTTTAATTATGGAATTAAAAAAAAATTAGTTTATTGTTTTTAAATATTCCAGTTTTGTTTGCAATAGGAACTGTTTTCATATTTCTAAGCAATGTTATGCTAACATTTATTTTGTGCTTAAAATAGACTTGCAATGGAAAGACTTTATGCAGTTTTTACAGATTATGAACATGATAAAGTACGTATAACTGAATTTTGTGTTACGTAATTGGGGAATTCTGTTTTGTCATATCTCACATAATTTTGTCTGTGAACATTAAGTCTATTTTACAAAACATCTGTAAACAGGAAACTTTTAAAAAAGCAAACCTAGTTGTTTGCATTTCCGTTTTTTTCAGGGGATGCATTTATAGAAATTTTATTGCATTATTTTCAAGACGTTGTTTTCTTCTCTACTTTCCGTAATAAACCACCATTCGTTTTCCTTCATGTTAACATTTTTCTATTTTTCTTTTTCTTTGCAACTTTTTATTGTGAATTGAGTGAAGGTTTACAGAGCAGGTCATCAGTTTCACATTCAGCACATACACTTTGCTTCATTGCATGGTTGTAATCCCTTCTATGTATCAACAGTTAATAGTATTTTTACCTCTGTTTACTTTGATTATTTCATTCCTACCTGTGTACCTTCATCTTTCCTGTGCTAACCTCCCTCTTGTTATATGTTGCCTGCACTGTCCCGTGAATAATTTTCCCTCCCCCTCCATACCCTGTAACCAGAATAGATTGTTTCTTCTATCAAGAAAACTTTTCTTAACTTTTTACAACATTGGTTTCATACATTATTTGCCCTTCTGTGATTAATTTCACTTAGCGTAATGTCCTCCAGGTTGAGCCGTGTTGTGAGGTGTTTCACAGATTCATCACTCTTCAACATTTTATAGTATTCCATTGTGTGTAGGTACCAAAGTTTGTTTAACCATTCTTCTGTTCATGGGCATTTAGGCGCTCTTATCTTTTTGATGTATCTCTTGTAGACAGCATATTGAAGGATCCTGTTTTCTTATCCATTCTCCTCTCTATATTTCTTGGCTGGAATATTTAATCAGTTTATATTTAGTGTAATTACTGATATATATGAACTCATTGCTATCATTTTTCTGTGTGCTTTTGTTTTGTGGTGCTGTTGGATTCTTGGTTCCACATAATTTTCTATGCTGAGTTAATTTAGTTTGTAGGTTTTCTTTTCATTTTCATTTCTGTTGTGTTCTTGTTTACTAAGTCTTTCTGATTTTCTGTTTTATTTTTATATACAGTGTAAACTTTTTCTTTGCGGTTATCCGGTAATATTTATTAATTTTTTCCCTGCTTAAATAGTCTGTTTTATCTTGAAATCTGCTTCCTTGATGTTGTTGTTGTTGTTAAGTGCCATCGAGTCGGTTCCAACCCATAGCAACCCTGTGTAGGGTTTACAAGGAGATGCTGGTGAGCTTGAATCGCCAACCTTGCAGTTCATATGGCTTTGCAGTCTGGCACATTAACCCACAGTGCCAGAGAAGTTCTGTATTTATACTATTCTGTCATTTTGCTTTGTACATGACTTCATTATATATTGATATCTCTTGTTCCCTATTTTCAGTTTTGTAAGTTTGTTTTAAACACCTCTGTATCTAGATTGAGTTTGGGTGGTGTTTCATATATGGTTGTTTTCTCCTGTTGTTGGTTCTTGGTACAAAAAACGTCCTTTAGCATTTTTTCAAAGGTCTGGTCAGTACAGATTCCTTTAATTTCTGTTTATCAGGAGATGTTCTAGTTTCATAGTCATGCTTAAGGGACAGCTTTGCTGGGTATATGATTGTTGGTTGGCAGTTATTTTCATTCAGAGTTTTGTATATGTCATCCCATTGTCTTCTTGCCTGCATGATTTCCGCTGAGAAATCAGAGTTTAGTCTTATTGGCTTTCCTTTGTAATTTTTCATTTTTCCTGAACTGCTCTCAGGATTCTTTACTTGTCTTTGATTTTAGAAAGTTTGATTATTATATGTCTTAGGGATTTTCTCTTAGGACCTGTCCTCTGTGGGTTCATTCAGCTTCTTGTAGGCTTATCTTCTCATGTTTTATTATATTAAGGATGCTTTTTTACAACAACTCTTGGACAATTTTCTCTGTGCTTTTTATTCTCTCTTCCTGTTGTGGAATTACAGTCACTAGAACATTGTTCCTCTTCATGGTATCCCACATAACTCTGAGGCATTCTTTTGATTTTTTTCTGATTGTTCTTCTAGCATACCAGTATTGAGAGCTTTATCTTAGGGCTTCCATTGCTTCGAGTCTTCTCCTTTGCCCTTACAATGTTTTGTCCATTTCTGAAATCTTAGTATTAATCTTATGGATTTCTAATTACAGGTTTTGTATTGTTTCAAATTTTACATTTATTTTGTTTGTTCTTATAGCATTTTTCTGGATTCTTCTAAAGTTTTTTCTGTGTCCTCCTTGCTTTACTCGATCTTTCTGTCAGTCCATTGAAGGTATCAAAATATAATTTTTTGTAATTGTTTTTCAGTTAGTTGCATTACTCTATTCCTCAAAAATGTTTTCTTTTTTAGCATCTTGGTTATTTATTTGTGCCTTTCTATCTTGTTTCTTCATGTGAGTTAAAATTATCTGTTGTCTCCAGGGCATTGTGGGGTTGCTGTATTTGTAAAAACAGTGCAGTTGTTGGACCTGGAGGGGAGAAATCTCTGCTGGTGGGGTGGGCTCCTGCAATTCAAGGAGCTCATGAGGTAGTTGTAGAAGGAATACAACAGCAATGTTCCTGGCCCTAGATGGAGTTCCTGTTGGCCTTTGTGTTATCTGTGTGCAGAGCCCTCAGTCCAGAAGTAGTTTGATGGAGCTGGTTTCAGTGTCTTTTTAGGACCACAGGGAATCAGAACAGAGTGACTGATTAAATACTGGTCTGTTGGCTCCACATTATTTGTACGTCTGTAGCCAAGCCAATCTCAATCCAGGTACCAAAGTGGTACACACTGGCATGCTTCCCAACCATGTGGCTCCAAACTCCCCAAGAGTAGGTTCTGTCTGGGGATGGTTGAGGATGGGAGCTGGCTAAACCTCTGGTCACCAGGGGGGTATAGGGAAAAAGGAAAAAATTGCACCTTTCCTGTCACACTCTCGAATCTGCTCTTCCAGGCTTTCCTCCACTGCCAAACAGCTCAGATGGTCTAGCCACCTGTGCCTAACTGTTCACCAGTCACTCTTATCCCACTCTCAATGTTCCTGCTTGGCCTCTCCTCCCAGCAAGCATTCCATCCACCTCTGAAACCTTTCTTCTGAAGTTCAGGGTGCCAAAACTTTCATCTGTGCCTGTTTTATTTGGTGTCTCATATCTTTATTGTAGAAGGTCTTTGTCGTCCATCAGCCTAGTCCACCATCTTGCTGGCAGTCCCTGCATTCTTTGTTAATAAAAATTTTAGGGAAATCTGTAATGCAATTTCAATTAATTATATAAGCAAAATTACTTCTAAATCAATTATGATTGATTTATGAATGATCGGTTCGAATCTTTTAAAGAATACTGCTACCATTAGAGAAATGCAAGAATTCTTGTAATGTGTGACTTGTATGATAATTTAAAATAGAAATATTCATTGTTGCCAGGTATGTAACAACTGAACATGAACTTTTGTTTAGATTTCCAGAGATGAAGCTGTTAACAAGATAAGGTTAGAAACTGAGGAACAACTAAAAGGTGAATTTTTTTTTTTTTTAATTTCAATGGGAAAAGTTGACAAAATCATTTCTCAGTGCTCCTCCAGCTTCTCATTTTGTTTGTCTTTAGTAAATTTGGAGTAATGATCCATCAGGATTCCTGTTGAATTCATTTGTAAGACTGTGCCTAGCACTGTACCTGACATATACTGGGCATCTGGTAAATGTTAGTTGAATATGGAATATGCCTGGTATTTTCTGAATCGGATTCTTGAACGTTAAGGTGGCTTTCTTGTCATTTTAAAACCCAAAAGATAATCTTTAAGTTTCTTGAGTTCCTGATCTGTAAAATTACTGATTTGTGGGGATTTACTAAATCATTTGCAGTAAAGTGTTCAATGAATATTCACTGATGTTATTGTTGCTATTGGAGTCCTGGTGTGGTATTATGGGATAAAGCACTGAACCACAAGGTGGTTAGAACTACAAAGTTCAAACTCACCAGCCAGTCCTTAGAAACCTACAGAGGGTTGCTAAGAGTTGGAACCTAGTCAGCAGCACTTACCAATAACAACAACAGTGTTGTGTTGTTGTTATTAATATGTGGAATTATAAAATTTAGGTATTAGAACAGGGATACAGAATATCCGGCTGTGGGCCATATAACGCCCTCAAAATCATTTGGTCTGGCCTTGCCAAGGCAACCGCATCACATTGCAGCTGCTGCTAAGTACCCCCAAGCTGGTTCTAAATCATAACAAACCCTGTCCTGGGTTTCTGAGGATGCAGCTGGTAGATTTGAACTGCCAACCTGTGGTTCAGAATCCATTGCTGATTCTACAGCTTCACACCCAAAGTCCAGCCATCACATTGGTGGTGGTGGTTTTGTGTCATAAAGTGGGTTCCAACTCATAGCATCTCATAGTTTTTCCGAGGCTATACATCTTTACAGGAGCAGAAAGCCTCATCTTTCTCGTATGGAACAGATGGTAGTTTCAAACTGCTGACCTTGAGGTTAACAGCCAGGCTCGTAACTGCTATACTACCAGAGCTCCTTAGTCATCACATTAGGGATGAGGTAATTAAATGTTTGATGAAGGCTAATTTGTAAGTTGACAATTTTGTATGGCCCATACATGACGTTATAAATTTTATCTGACAAAAAAAGCTTCATACCTTGTTTTAGAGACTTTAGCTCTTTCTAAAAATTTTTCAGTAAAGTTTTCATTAACTAAATTTGTTTGAAAGTAGATTCCGAAGCTTGCTTTCTTAATCGGTGTTAGTCTGTACACTTTGCTAAAACCTAACCATCATGGGTGACCCTGCTGTATTGGAAATACTAGTGGTATATCTTCCAACATCATAGCAGCATGCAAGCCACCACAACATAGCAAACTGACAATGAGTGAAATTCCAGAACACTTCATGTTACTCAGGCAGAGCTTGTACATGGAACAAGAGGCAGTCATTCAAACATGGTTGAGATTGGAAAAGGTGTCTCAGACAGGATTATATCTGTTCGCCTTACTTACTTGATCAGTATACTAGACAAATAATCCAAAAAGCAGCATCAGGATTGGAGGAAGAGTCATCAACCTGTGATACGAAGATGACACAGCCTTGCTTGCTAAAAATGAAGATAACTTCAAGTATTTAACTGATGAACATCAAAGACTACAGTGTTCAGTATGGATTACAACTGAAAAAGAGAAGCTGAAAATTCTCACAAATGGATTTAAAAAGGCATCATGATAAATGGTAAGGAAATTAAAGTTTGAATCAACAATCAGTACCCATGAAAGCAACAGTCAAGAAATCTAAGGGTTGCTTTGGGAAAATCTGCGGCAAAAGACATGTTTAAAGTTCTAAAAAGTAAAAGTGTCACTTTGATGACTCAGGTTTACCTGACACAAGCCATGATCTTTCAGATCACCTCAACAACATCTTATTAGATCACCTTGTATACTGTGAAAGCTGGTCAATGTAGATAAAGCTAGACGACGAATTGTAACATTGAAGTGTAGCGTCGGCAAAGCTCTTGTATCATGCACCTTCAGAAGAACTGACGATGGCAAGACTGTGTCTTGCTTTTTTTGGATATATCATTATGAAAGACCAGTTACTGGAAAAGGACATCCTGTTTGGTAGAGGGTCAGTGAAAACAATAGAAACCCAATGAGATGGATTGACATAGTGGGTTCAAGCATACCAACAATCATGAGATGTTAGAGGATCAGGCAGTGTTTCATTCTGTTACGCAAAAATTATTAAGCAGTAGAATTATAATATCAGTCTCACAACTGAATATGAAGCAAATGAGACATACAGATCTCGTGAATTTTTTTCCCCACAAGTAAACATTCCCTCATTTGAGTTTTTTTCTCCTTTTAAAATTAGAAAGACTGCTATTAGCATGGTTTTTCTTTGTGGCCATTATCTGTAATTACCATTCAAAAAGTTAGTCGTTCTTACTACATTTCTAACTATTAAAAATAGGAAACTTTATAGTACTTGTTGCCTTATTTCAAAAAAACTGATTCTGTATTTGTATTATACATACAATATATTCATGACTCTCTTGATTGATAGAATAATATTTTAAGTGTTCCGATCCTAATTATTTTCCTGTCTAAACACAACCCAACTAAAGCATAAAACTTTATGTTAATAGAATATAACATCAAAATTATTCTTGCCTGAAACTGTTCAAAATTATTCTTGGGTGGTACAGATGGTTTACGCTCAGCTGCTAACTCCCATCCAGTGAAGCTACAGAAGACAGACCAGGCAATCTGCTTCTATAAAGATCACAACCAAGAAAACCTTATAGTGTAGTTCTAGACTCGAACTCACCTCCGAGTCTCAATTTTCAGCCAAGCACCAGATGGCTATATAAAGGGGACAACAGTACTAGCGAGGTGTGCACACCACAGGAATGTCAACCATTCGAGCAGTTGCCCTAGTACAGCATTGAAAAGGGTGGAGAAAGAAGGAGAAATGAAAACAAGAAACACAGGGAGGAAGGTGGAAGGGGATTGAAGGGATGACAGTCTTTGAGATGAAATGTAGTATATGATTTGTTAAATGTGAAACATGATTTGCTCTGTAAAGCTTCAATCAATTCACAATAAAAAGTTAGTTTGAAAATTTAAAAGAAAAGAAAACCCTATGGAACTCATTTCTCCTCTAACACATGGTCACCGTGAGTCTGAATTGACTTAATTACAACAGGTCTGATTGTGGTTTTGTTGAAAGAAAATAAAGTACTTATTATATCTCTATTTTCTATGACCATTTCTTATGTTCTGGTTACTTTATGTTTAATATACCAGTTCTTGAGAAAACTATACTTCAAATTTGCTATATTGATCCAAAAGATGGAGTCGCTTAATGTTGGAAAGCATAAGCTTTGAGGCAGACAAATCTCAAAAGGTTGACACTGTACAGGTCAGTGTCTCAGTTGTGTGGCCGTGGGCAATATCCTTGTTTTTTAAGCCTAGATTTTTATTTACTTTGTAAGTTATTGTTAAGATTCAAAATGCTAAAATATTTAAAGTGCCTGATTCATAAAAGCACTTCATAAATATTGGCTGAAAATATTGATGGCTATGCAGAGCAAGATGGCAGAGTGAGTGGAGGTTTCCATTTACTTACTCCCCCAGTAACTAACCCATTGAACAAATTAAACAAATTAAAATCAGCCCAGACAGATCTCAGAACTCATATCAGCAGCTGAAGTGTTGGAGAGGAGGGACAAGAACAATAACAGAAGCTGGGAGAACCTACCTGCTAACATTCAGAGGGCTCACTCATAACAGCCATTACAGGGCAGGGCTGGGTAATCCCTCGAACAGGGAACATAGGAAAGGAGTTAATCTAGGGAAGCTGTAGCCCAGTTGAAGGTGACCAAGAGTCTACTTTTAATCTCACTGAGGCCTGAGACCAACATTCATGATGACTAGGTGAATACTTCAGACTGATGTGGACTGCACAGATGGAAAGTGATACACAGTGGATCATCGTGGGTGAGCCTAGGCAGGGATAGCCATGAAGGAAAGAGCCCACACCTTCACTGTGGGGAAGTCTAGCCCCACCACTTACAACAACATTTGCAAACAGTTAAGCCATTACCATCACCCCTTGCATTTGACTTGAACTTCTGAGATCAAGCATGCAGAATTCTGGAGTCAGCACAAAAAAAAACTAAAGATAAGAGTGCCTTCTAGTGGTTCTCAGGAGAAGATGCAAAGCTCACTGCTGCTGTCAATTCTGACCCATTGAGGCTGCTGCCTGATGTGCCCGATGGGGTTCCCAACGCTGTGAGTCTTTTCAGAGAAGGTGGTGGGTGCAGGTCCTGGCCTTTCAGTTAGCAACTGGCTGCTTGGCCTCTGAGCCACCAGAGTGTCTAATCAGAAATATTTCCCCCCAGAACAAGACAAACTTTAAAGTAAACAAAGATAACCACAATGGCCCAAGTTCAACAAAAAAGTAAAATGCACAAAGTCAAAAGAAAGACCAGTCAAAAAGCAAAACATGTAAAAAGGACAATTCTCTCTGAAAGGCCATGATAATACAACGAATTGATTGACTGTCAGACTGGTGCTAAATGTGATTGTTATGTTAGGTGCCATTGAGTCAGTTCCCACTCATAGCAACCCAGTATAGGGTTCCTGAGGAGCGATTAGTGAGTTTGTTTGAACTTCCAATCTGAACCGACACAGATGACAATAGGAGTATATATAAATGTATAGTAAGTGACAAAAATCAGAATAAATACATTTGAATTATGGTGTTGGCAAAGAATATTGAATATACCATGGACTACCAGAACCAACAAATCTATCCTGGAAGAAGTACAGCCAGAGTGCTCTTTAGAAGCAAAGATGACAATACATCATCTCATGTATTTTGGACGTTGTCAAGAGGAACCAGCCCCGTGAGAAGAACATCATGCTTGGTAAAATAAAGGTCAGTGAAAAAGAGGAATACGCTCAATGAGATGTATTAACACATTGGCTGCAACAATGGTTCAAACACCAATTGTGAGGATGGTGTAGGACTTGGCAATGTTTTGTTCTGTTGTATAGAGGGTTGCTATGAGTCTGAACTAACTTAGTGGCACCTAACAACTGCAGAGTGTCTGGTGGGTTTGAACTGCCAACCTGGTAGTTAGCAGCCCGATGCTTAACCCAGTGTATCACCAGTGCCATCAAGTCAGTTTCAAGCTCTGTTGGCAATGTGGGTTAAGCATTGGGCCGCTGACTGCAAGATTGGCAGTTCCCACCCACCAGCTAAAGAAAGATGAGATTGACTGCTTCCATGAAGATTGAGTCTCAGAAACCCTAACGAGCAGTTCTACTCTGTTTCATAATGTCTCTGTGAGTCAGAGCAACATAAGTACATGTAAATACAAATGTGTGGGTGCAGGAACATGTATTCATTAAAGACAAATACTGATATTTCACAGATCTAACCAGACCATTGGTTTTCTAGATCTGAAATCTTTTGACAATGATCACATGAGACAACACACTACACAAAAATCATGATCTAAATCCTAGTGAAGTGAGTACGTCTGGGGTCTTAAAAGCGTGTGAAACACAACTAAGGGTGAGAAACACAACTATGGGTCTCTGCTGAACAGGAACCAAACCATAAGTGCAGAAAAGAAACAGGTGTACATAGTCACAACCTCATCCATCCTGAGACCAGATGAAGTAGATAATGTGTATCACCACAGACCGAGCCAACTGTGGGCACAGTAGTAGATTTCAGATGGAATGGAGAGGAATATGGAGCAGAACTCAAATTCTTAATTTTTAAGGGGGAAAAAAAATACACAAAGTAGAACAATAGAGAACAGAGGGCTTCTTGAAACTCAAGCCCTGAGACACTGTTTGAACCTAGAACTGAACCTGTCCCCTGAGATGACTTGTTACAGCAGAGTTACACACAGGGTCTTCATAAGCTTGGGTGTCCTATTTCAAAGTCATCGGTATGAGACCAAAAGGTCAATAATTACTCAAAAGCATAGATGAAAAGACAAGGAGTCAGGGAAACTAGAGGACTGGAAAAGGAACAACAACAAAAAAAAAACAACCCAAGATTTTGACACAGTGTAATAAATGTAACAGGTGTCCTGGTGTGGTGCTGTAGGATAAGCACTGGACTGCTAACTGCATGGTGGACAGCTCTACCCCAGCAGCTGCTCCTTGGAAACCCTAGACAGGCTCACTATGACTCAGAACTGACTCAGTGGCACTCAACAACAACAACATCACTGAACAAATTTGAAGTTGCCAGATGGGAACCTAATTTGTTATATAAACTTTCAGTAAGATTATTCCTTTTGAGTGAATATTTACAGAGAGGATCATCAGTTTTACATTCAGCAAATGTTTCATCTCAATGGCTGCAATCCCCTCAGTGTAACAACAGTTAGTTAGCCCACTTCCTATCTGTAGTTCTTATATCCATTCCACCGGCATTCCCAACCCTTCTCAACTTTGTCCTTAGAGAAGTGTCGCCCTTTTGATCATTCCATGGTGAGCATACCTTACTAGTGTTGCTGTCCCCTCTATACCTATGTACTGCTTGGTTGAAAATTGGGCCCAGAAAATTTTATTTTCAAGCCTGAAGGGTGACTGAAGGGTTATAGTTTTATTCTTCCTATCTCTTTCTGACCAGTAAGCCTGGTTTTTGGTTAGTTTTGCTTTACTTTGTTTTTTAATCATTTTTAATATTGTTTCACATTTTCTCACACCCTATCCATGGCTTTCTAATGTATTCCTTTTCAAAGCACTGAGTAGGAGTAGTTAGGTACCATCTACTTTTTCCTGTCTCAGAGGTAGAGCTGAGTGTTCATATGGTTCATTAGTACATTGGAACTAATTCCAAGCATCTTCAGCTTTCATGACTCATATTTTCTCCACACATGAAGAAATCAATAGTTGCACCTTTTTGTAGTTGTTGTTGTTGTTAATTGCCGTTGGATCTGTTCCAACTCATAGCGACTGTTGGTTTCCAACAAGCAGCTGGTGACTTTGAGCCACAACCTGTGGTTCAGACTGACCTTATGCTTATCCTACAGTACTGCATCAGTATTCCAAAGTGTTGATTTGTAATACATAAAGAAAGTTAATCTACAATTTTCAGATAAAAATAGAAGTTCCTAAAGCAAAAGAATAAAGGTGACTACTACTGTTAAAACTGTCAGGCCTTTTCATATAACTGGCTAGATTTGTCAGATAATAATACAGTATGAAGCCAACTTCAAAGCACTAATTCTGAGAGAAAATGAACGAGTTTGCAGTAACAGTACATTTGAGGTACTTAAAACTTGCGTGTCTCCCCGGCTTGAGAACATCTGATTCATCCACTTTACCTGAGAACTAAATGTTCAGAGTCAACTCCCTTGGTTTATTCCCACTAGTTTGATGCCATGACCTTAACTGAAAATCTATTTTTCAAAAAGAAGAAACTTGTTTTGGTTTGTCTTGTTTCTATAGAAAAATTTCCAGAGGCTGACCCATATGACATAATAGAGTCCTTCAATGTTGTTTCAAAGGAAGTCTTTAGAAGTATTATTTTGAATGAGTACAAAAGGTAAGTATATCTTTTTTTTTTTTGATGCATTTGAAGCACGAAACTGGCTTTTTGCATTGTTGTTTATTAGGTGAACAATAAAGAATTATATTTACTTTATAAATTGGTGCCTATTAAAGAATGTACAGATTATGTGGATATATTTGATTTTCTGACCTGTATGTAGAGTAATAGTCCACAACTTAACTGTGCATCATAATTACCAGTAGTACTTGTTAATACTGCATGTGCATGGGTCAGAACCCCTGAGATTCTGATTCAGTGGTTCTTTGAATGGGCCGCAGGTATCAATTTTTTAGAGGTTTGTTGGGAATTATGTTACCCAAATGGAATTGAGACCTTCCTGATAATAAAGAGATTGTTGTTGTTGTTAAGTGCTGTGGAAATCAGTCCCGACTCATAGCAACTCTGCATAGAGTTCCCAAGAAGCAGCTGGTACATTTGAACCTCTGGCCTTGTGGTTCACATCGACATTGCAGCCGAGTCTTATCCTATAGTGTGACACCAAGACTCCAATAATGCGATAGTCTGTGATTTTTTGTATTTCCACACTGCTTTACATACTTTTTTTTCCTATGTTATTATAGGTGCGATGGTCGTGATTTGACTTCACTTAGGAATATAAGTTGTGAGGTAGATATGTTTAAAACTCTTCATGGATCAGCATTATTTCAAAGGGGACAAACACAGGTAATACATGTAAAAAACTATTAATTATTTGCTAACTTAGTATCCTTTAATTAGATCTAAAACAGTATTTACATAATGTAGTTGTTGTACAAACATTATCATATGAAATGTATTATCTATTCAGATTGATAAATAGAAGTCTAAAAAATATTTATAACTACCTTTGTTGTTGTTAGATACCATCAAGTCAGTTCCAACTCATAGTGAATGACCCTTTGCACAACAGAACGAGACACTGCCCGGTCATGTGCCCCATCCTCATGATTGTTGTTACCTTAATCCCATTGCTACTGCCATTGTGCCAGTCCATCTCACTGGCGATCTTCCTCCTTTTCACTGACACTCTTATTTACCAAGCATGAAGTCCTCCAGGGACTGGTCCCTCCTGATAAGAAGTCCAAAGTATAAGAGACGAAGTCTCGCCTTCCTGTCTTCTAGGGAGCATTCTGGCTGTACTTCTTCCAACATTTGTTCTTCTGGCAGTCTGTGTTACCTTCATTATTCTTCTCCAACATCGTAGTTCAAATGTATCAATTTTTCTAAGATCTTCCTTATTCATTATACAGTTTTCATATGCATATGAAGCTGTTAAAAAATACCTTGACTTGGGCCAGGTATAGCTTAGTCCTCAAACTGACATCTTTGGTCTTGAACACTTTAAAGAGGTCTTGTGCAGCACGTTTGCCTAATTCAGTATATTGTCTGATTTCTTGACTGATGCTTCCATCACTGTTGATTTTAGAGCCAAGCAAAACAAAGTCTTTGACAACTTCATTTTTTCCCCCATTTGTTATTGTCAACTGCCATTAAGTTGGTTCCCAGTTATTATAGCCTCACTGTATAGCGTTTCTGAGACGTTAAGTCTTTATGGGTGCAGAAAGCCTCATCTTTGTTCTGTAGAATGGCAAGCAGGCTCAAACCTCAGACCGTGTGGTTCACAGTCCAGTGCTTGTTGTATAGAGCCACCTCACCACTTATCATGATATTATTTATTGGGCTAGTTGTGAGGATTTTTGTTTTATCTGCACTGAGCTGCAAACTATACCGAAGGCTGTGGTCTTTGATCTTTAGCAGTAAATATTTTAAGTCCTTAAACATTTAGCAAGCAAGCTTTTATCATCGGCATATCACAGGTTGTTAATGAGTCTTTCTGTAATCCTGATGCTATGTTTTTCATATAATTCAGCTTCGTGGATTATTTGCTCAACACACAGATTGAGTAAGTGTGGTGAAAGAATACAGCCCTAGCTCACCTTTCCTGATTTTAAACCATTCAGTATCCCTTTGTTCTGAAGCAAATGACTGCTTCTTGATCTGTGTACAGGTTTTCCATGAGCACAGTTAACTGTTCTGCAATACCCATTCTTTGCAGTGTTATCCATGGCTTGCCATGATCCACATGGTAGAAAGCCTTTGTATAGTCAATAAGCACAAGTAAACTTCTTTTTGGTCTTCTCTGCTTTCAACTAAGATCCAACTGATGTCAGCAATAATATATCTCATTCCATGTTCTCTTCTGAACCCAACTTGAACTTCTGGCAGTTCAGTGAACTGTTGCAGTCATTTTTACTTCATCAAGATTTTACTTGTATGTTAATAGCCTTTGAAGCTTGTTGTCTAAATCGTATGAGATTTTTTTTTTTTACTGTCCTTTGTTATTTGTTTCTACTTTTAATTGCATTGTGGGCAGAGAACATTATCTATGTGTTATTGAATCTTTGCATTATTGAGGCTTCCTTTATGGTCGTTATTTATAAATATTCCTTTTATATGTGCTAGAAAAGAATGTTTCTGATTTTGTTGGGTAATGTTCAGTGTGAGTCCTGGTAGCATAGTGGATTATAAGATGGGCTGCTAACCCCAAGGTCAGTTGTTCAAATCTACCAGCTGCTCTACGGAAGAAAAATGAGGCTTCATGCTCCCATACAGAATTACAGCACACCACCACCAGCAGCATACAATATATGTAGTATTTATATCAGTTTTTATGAGCAATGTATTAATATCCAGTTACAGTTGATTTCTGTAATTTTGTGTACTCTGTCAGTTGTCTGTTTATAAGTTTGAGTTTATATTGTTAGGGGCCTATACAAGGGGATTTTTAAAGTTTGTGGAAAAAAATCCATTATCTTTCAATTCTGTTTTTCCTTGAACATTTTGAAGTCCCCGTATATATTTGCTCATTCATTTATTTCACAAATTACTATTGAGTACTAACTATACTTGCAAGGTCGGCAGTTCAAGCTTGCCAGCTGCTCCTTGGAAACCCTACATAGGGTCACTATAGGTCGGAATCGACTCAACGGCACTTAACAGCAACAACACTAACTATACTGAAGACAAGCACCGTTCTGGGCAATTTCAAAAAACATTGGTTATAGTTGTCATCACAGTTTTTACTCAAAGATTCACAAGTAATTTACATGTTGCTTTCAAGTTAACGTAAATGGACTTTCAAATATAGATAGTGAATTTCATAAGATACTTGAAAACTTTTCTAATTATTTGAGCATTCTAATTGCCACTTTAATTCTTAGTGTGCTCCTTGAGTCAGTGACCATGTCTAATCCATTTGCCATCCTTCTCCAGCACTTCCATTAATGCGCTTTATCTATAATATAGTCTCTATGATGGTGAGCCTTTGGATTATCGAGGTTTACTCATACCTTAACTATTTATAGCATGAAAAAATGTTTACTGAATTAAATACAAATAGTATCCTTTGTATAGAAGATACTTAACCACTTTGCTTCTTGAGCTAATTGAGTTCTTCAGGTATTTTTAGTTTTCATCTATTTTATGGGTATAGAAAGCCTGAGAACGTCTCTTTTTCTTTTTCTTTTATTGCTTTTGTTTTTCAGGTTCTTTGTACTGTTACATTTGATTCACTGGAATCCAGTATTAAATCTGATAGAATTATATCAGCTATAAAGTAAGTTTGTGTTTTTATATTATGACCTGCTAGCATAAATTTTAAGTTCATGTAAATATATTGTTATTCTAAACCTCTATCTCTGGACTTCATTTTTATGTTTACATAATAGTGATTTAAAGCAGGATTTCAAACTGGTTCCAAATGGTTCAGTCATGGCCAACACTATTTGAAGACCTAAACTTGTATAATTTGAGTGTACTAGAATGATAATCAGAACAGAAAAAATTATAGTCAAAACCCAGAAATGGGAGACTCCAAAGAGAAATAGTGACCTATTTCAGGAGCCTGGTGCATGACATTAGATTGTTGCCAGGACTGTGAAGCGCAGCACAGTCAGCCTGCATCTGTGAGCTGGGACCAATGTTTCTGCCTCTGACAGTCAAGAGATTTCATTGCTGTGTAACGTGTATGCTGCTATTTTCCAAATTGGAGATTGTTTCTAGCAGAATGTCTGAATTTATAATTTTTCCCATTCTGGTTATCATTCAGGTGTTACTTCTCCTCACCCATGATTGAACCAGAAAGAACTGGTTTGAAGCCCTGATTTAAGTGGCCCCCAAGAATTTTTTTGTTCTATATTGTCTTCTAGTTCATTTGTTTATGAACAAATACTGGTAAATCATTTAATTGTATAATATGTGGGTACGTTTAATTTCTTCTGTCTTTAGAACCATTTCTCATATATTCTTTTTTATTTTTTTTCATGTAGCTGGTAAAATTGACAATACAGCTTTTTGTATAATGCTGGAATTCTCATCCAAATCATAATCCCTTTGGGAACTTACACTTCATATTTTATATTCCATTCTAGGTCAAGTTTTGGTTGTTCTGCTCTCTTCACTTTGTTTCTTTTTCTTTTAGGGAAAGCAAATGTAGCTTAATAAGAAAGAATACTGGACTAGGCTAAGGCACCTCTGTCTTCTAGTCTTGAGTCTTTCTAACTGTGTTAGCGAAGAGCTCATGTCATTCAGCGTCAATCACCGGTGGTCTTCTTTTCTTGTAAAATGAAGACACTGGACCACATGATCCTTATCCGCCTCTCTAGCCCCCAAAATCTGATTCCTTTAATATCCTGAAGGAGTTTGTTTAGATTTCTTTTCCCATGTCTGTAGTTTATCGTGGGAGCTCTGGTAACAGTAGTTGTTACAAGTCAGGTTGCTAACCTCAAGTTCAGTAGTTCAAAATGACCAGCTGTTCTGTGAGAGAAAGATGAGGCTCTCTGCTCCCATAAAGATTTACAGCCTCAGAAACCCATACAGGGTCCTTATGAGTCAGAACCGACTCTACGGCACACCACCACCATCACCACCATAGTTTATGGTTATGCAGATTCTACCCAGACTCAGGTGCATTCTTTTTTTCCTTTTTTGGGTGGGGAAGGGGGTGGAAGGTAGGAGTACGGAGTTAGGATTAGGACTGTGCTTAGATCTAGTCTAGGCCTAGGATTTTGTTTGGTGTTAGAATTATGGTGAGGACTATGGTTAGTGTATGGGTAAATATTGGGCTACCATGGGGCTAAGGGGTACTTAGTTTAGTTTTGGGGTTACATTTAGGTTTATTTTTATTTATTTAATTTTTCTTGAAATTGATGTGATTTCCTTTATATTTAGATATTCTGTAACTACATTATTTTCTCATTTTACTTTATGCTTTTATTTGTTTCAGTTTGGTATCTCTGGTTCCCTATTTTCAGTCTTGGAGGTTTACTTCTCTGGGTTGACTTTTGGGTGATACTGCCATGTATGTTAATCTCAGGTTATTAATTGCCTGCTGTTGTTGGTTCTTTTTCCAAAGAACTCTCTATATCGTTTTTTATAAATTTGGTCTACTTTTTACAAAGTCTTTTAATTTCGGTTTATCTGCAAATGTCCTAACTACACCGTCATATTTAATGGATAGTTTTGCTGGGTATATGATTCTTGATTGGCTTCTCTTTTTTATCCCCCCAGTTTTTATACATCATCTCATTGTCTTTTTGCCTGTTTTGGTTTTTGCTGAGAATTCAGAGCTTAATCTTATTAGTTCTCCTTTGTAGGTAACTTTATTTTCCTGAACTCTGTCTGCCCTCAGAATTCTTTTCTTGTCTTTGGTTTTGAAAAGTTTAATTATAATATATTTTGGTGATTTTGTTTTGGGGTCTATCCTGTTGGGAGTTCATTCAATTTCTTGAATAGCTATCTTCTCATCTTTCATGAAATTTAGGGACATTTTCTTATGACAACTCTTTACAATTTTTCTTTTTATCTTTTTTTTTTTTTTTAATGTCTCATCCTGTTCTAGAATTTCAATTATTTGTGTTATTCCTCTTGCATAAATCTTGGGCTTTCTTCTGATTTATTTTCCCTTCTGTTTATTCCTCTAGCAGATAAATAATGAGAGATTTGTCATCAAACTCAGTAATTTGGCCTTCCATTGATTCAATTCTACTTCTTTGCCCTTTCGATTTCAGTGCTTTATCTGTTTCTGAATCTGAAGTCTTATAATTCATCTTTCTAGCTACTGCACCCTATGGTTTCTAGTATTTCATTTATTTTGTCAATTTGTTCTTGTTGTGTTTTCCTGAATTCTTCTAAAGTTTTGTTTTTCATGTTATCCTTGATCTATCAATCCATTTAAGATACTTAATTGCCATTCCTTTAAATTCCTATGCAATAGTTCTGATACCATTTCTGGTATTATTTTATCCTGGTGTGATGCTGTGGGCTAAAGCACTGAACTGCAAAGTTGGTTTGAACCTCAAGGTCAGTGATTGAAGTTCACCAGCTGCTCCTTGGAAACCCTGTACAGGGTCATTATGGATTGGAACCAATTTCAAACCACTTAATAGTAGCAACAATTTTCATCACTTGTTTTAAGCACTCTGTCTTGTTTCTTTATATAAGCTGAAATTGTCTGTGGTCTTCAAGACATTGTAGTGTTGTATTTATATTTAATTGTTGATTGTTTGTTGGTAGGTTCTCAAGCATTCCACCTGTCTAATGGTGGATATGATAGCGACTGGCGAGATATGCCCTTTTGTAATTCTACTGAAAGAGGGGTGCTATTTGTGTTAAAGGCCAATCTGTAGCTGTCTTTTCTTCAGTTGTGAGTTAATCTGGTTTCCTGCTTTTAAGAATTGTTTTTCTCGTCCTTATTTTACCCCATTGTTCTAGATAGATTCACAGATATTCTCTTTTCAAACCCCAGAAAGATGCTTGCCTATCAGATCTACCCTTAGTGATGTCATTTCAATTACTGGTCTTTCACATGTTGACTGATAGAAAACTCATAACTGAGATTCGACTAATGTGATACAACACTTAGGATTCGCTCAGTTGGTATTAATCCTTAAAAATGTCTTTTGTCTTGATTTCAAATCTGGATATTTAAGTGCTTATATTTGAAGCAAAGTTATTTTTCTAAATTGGTATCTAATTCATTCATAAACTCAAGAAAAATTCATCTTTCTAATACTCTCCATTTTCCTTTCAAACCAACTCTCTTTAATAACCAATTGTGTATTTAAAATTGCCTTAAGATATTTTTGCTTACTGAAATAAATTTGTTTGCATATATGTGATGTGTTTAACATTATGTGTTTCATTTGTAGTGGAATAAAAGATAAGAATTTCATGCTGCACTATGAGGTAAGATGAATATTTTTCAACATTTTATTATGAAAAAACAAAGTGAAAAGAAATTTATATTGAATACTCTTATGTCCATTACCTAAGGAGCTCTGGTAGCATAGTGTTTATGAATCGGGCTACGAACCTCAAGGTCAGCAGTTCAAAACTACCAGCTCTTCCGTGGGAGAAAGATGAGACTTTCTGCTCCCGTAAAGATTTACAGCCTCGGAAACCGTATACAGAGTTGCTATGAGTCAGAACTGACTCTACAGCACATGATCACCACCACTATGCCCATTACCTAGATTCTACCACTAACATTGTAACTGTTAACTTTTGTAATAATCCATTCCTTTCATTTCAAGTGGTATGTATCTCTGGATACTATACTTTAGTCTTGCCCATTTATTTAATTTGTTTTCTTTTAAGTCTTTATTTATGTGTTTCACCCCATCACTTTCTCTTATCGGTTGAAGCCCTGTGACCTGTAGAGCCCTCCCATTGTGGCTGTTGCTGCCTGCACACTAACAGTGCAGTTCAGCCCATTTCTCTGGTTCCTGCAGACTGACTGCTGGATCCTGAGACATGATCAGTTCCATGTTGCATTTCTCCTTTTGTGTTATTTTTCTGTTAAAGAAACTGATATACTAGACTTTTATGGGGATTCTTCCACTTTTCAAATGATTGTAAGTAATTCCTATTTCCTTAAAGCCACAAAATGGTCACATAAAACCATTTGTAAGGCTAACTAAAACATACTTGTTTTTTTTAATATGAAATGATTCCATTGTTTAAATTGGACAATATACATGCCCTATGGAAAAGATTTACTTTTCCTCAGTATACTTTTTTTTTTAACATTTGTATATTTTTATTTAAACTTATTTTATTAACACTGGCAACATGGAAATGTATAATGTAATTCCCCTGAATTATCCACTTTCCAACTACTGAGTTACAAGACACACTTGAAATAGCTACTTTTAGCAATTTGGAGTCCTGGTGTGGTACTATAGGATACTGCAAGGTTGGTTTGAACCACAAGGTCAACGGTTCAAACCCATCAGCCACTCTTTGGAAACCCCATACAGGGTCGCTGTGAGTCAGCTGACACAATGGCTCTTTACAACAACAACAAAAGCATTTTGGTGTATATTTTGGGTGGCACAAAAATGGATATGTATTATTTTCTTGTCTTATTCTTTTATCTTTTTTCCATCTCAGTTATGTGTGTTTTGTTTTGTTTGTTTTTTAGTTTCCTCCTTATGCAACTAATGAAACTGGCAAAATTACTGGTGTGAATAGAAGAGAACTTGGGCATGGTGAGCACAAATCTGTAAACTTGAAATGGTGTTCTTACAGAGATTGGTGTATTTTTTGCTTATTGGTTCCTATTTTAACTTAGGTGCTCTTGCTGAGAAAGCTTTGTATCCTGTTATTCCCAAAGATTTTCCTTTCACCATAAGAGTGACATCTGAAGTCCTAGAGTCAAATGGTATGGACATTTTTTTTCCTTAGCAGAAAAAAACAATCTTTGTTATCTTTCAAACTTTGCATAAGTAATGTTACATTTTCTTTATATTTTACAAGATCCCTAACCTATTTTAACAGAAAATACCTTTAGTTTCCTTATTATGTACCTACCTGAATCTGTTCATAGTTAATGAGTTGTTTTGAAAGTAATGTACGATAATTAATTCTCTTCATGTGTGACTGATGTGTTTCCCATTTTGTTTCTTTGTTTGCTTTACAAACAAACCATAGAGCCAGTCCATTCTGGTGAGAGAAGGGTCCAAAATAGAGTATTCTATAAAGGGGAGCATGGTGGCTCTGGAGGGTAAGCACTGTACTGTGAGCCACAAGTTCAGTGTTTTCAGCCTACCAGTTGCTTCTCGGGAGAAAGATGAGACTTTCTTCTCCCACAAAGATTATAGTCTTGGAAACCACCGCAGGGTTTCTCTGATTCATAACGGACTTAACAAGCACTTAACAACATGAGAGAGGGCATGCTTGTCACATAACACAAGTGAATGGCAATACACTACAGAGGGAGGCTGGGCTGAAACATCAACGTTAACTCAAAAATGAGTCTATACTGTGTGCTGAAGACTGGTTGGTGGGGGAGATAGGTTTGCAGGATATATATACCCTTTGGTCGGTTGATGATGCATGGAGGGGATTGTAACCATGGCAATGATACAGTGTACGATAGAATGAATGTAAAACTAATGTTCTCCCATGTAAACTATCATATAATTCAAAATAAAACACTTTAAAAAAAATGAGTCTATAAGTCAGGACAAAATACAGTCATTGAAGGCAAGAAAGGCAGTGATTCTCAAAGATCTAACAGACTTAGAAAGACCAGGTAGTCAGAGATTTTGAGGAAGAAAAAAAACAAAGAAAGCTCCAAATTTAAACTAAAGACTTGTATTATCAATTGGGTATGACTAGGCTAATAGCCTTATGCCCCAATGCCAGAGGCTGAGCGTTCCTATCTTTAATTATCATCTGATTAAGATAACAGAAGAGCAACAGAGGCATTTTAGTCTTTCTAGGCAGTTTCCTAAAGGAGCTCTGGGAGCATAGTGGTTATGACTTGGGCTGCTAAACTCAAGTTCAGCAGTTCGAAACTACCAGCTGTTCTGTGGTAGAAATATGAGGCTTTCTGCCCCCATAAAGATTTGCAGCCTTGGAAACCCTGTGCAGGGTCACTATGAGTCGGAACCAACTCTATAGTACTTAACAGCAACAACAGGCAGATTCTTAGAATCAGAATTTCTGTCACAGTGCTATGTAGTGGAACTTTCTGTGATGATGAAAACGCCCTGTGTCTTGCTGTCCAATATAGCAGCCAGTGTGTCTAGTGCAATAGGGGAACTGATTTTTTTTTTCCAATGAAAGTAACCAACTGTGTTGAACCCTACAACTCTCTGGTTTTTGGTTTAGGTTATAAGTGCTTTTATAAAGAAGAAAGAGAAAAAATATTGAGTAACCAGTATTAGCAACTTTCTACATTTGACAAAACTCAAATGTCTTTTGAAGTTAATATTTCTTCTTCCTTACAGGGTCATCTTCTATGGCATCTGCATGTGGTGGAAGCTTAGCATTAATGGATTCAGGTAAGAGAGTGTTTTAAATCTGCTAAGACTTTATACATCCGTGATTAGATAAAACATAAGATTTCTTTAAAATTGGATTTTGGTAAGCTTAGAGTGGTCAGTTTTGCTAAAGGTCATACAGAAACGGCTACAATCATACATTGACAGAGAACTTCCAGAGGTTCAAGCTGGGTTCAGGAGAGGCCGTGGAACGAGAGATATCATTGCTGATGTCCGATGGATCTTGGCTGAAAGCAGAGAATATCAGAAAGATGATTACCTGTGCTTTATTGACTATGCAAAGGCTTTCGATTGTGTGGATCATGACAAGCTATGGACAATGTTGAGAAGTATGAGTATTCCAGAACACTTAATTGTACTTCTGAGAAATCTGTACCTGGACCAAGAAGCAGTTGTTCGAACAGAGCATGGGAACACTGAATGTTTTAAAATTGGGAAAGGTGTGCGACGAAGTTGTGTTCTTTCACCATACTTATTCAATTTGTATGCTGAGCAAATAATACGAGAAGCTGGATTCTGTGAAGAAAAGCGTGGCATCAGGATTGGAGGAAGACTCGTTAACAACCTGCAATATGCAGATGATACAACCTTGCTTGCTGAAAGTGAGGAGGACTTAAAACATTTATTGATAAAGATCAGGGAACACAGCCTTCAGTGATGGATTGCATCTCAATGTCAAGAAAACAAAAATCCTCACCACTGGACCAATAAACACCATTCTTATCAATGGAGAAAAAATTGAGGTTGTCAAGGACTTCATTCTTCTTGGATCAACTATCAACATTCACGGAAGCAGCAGTCAAGAGATCAGACGACGTATTGCATTAGGCAAATCTGCTGCACAGGAACTTTTTAAAGTGTTGAAGAGCAAAGATGTCAGCTTGAGGACTAAGGTGCGCCTGACCCAAGCCATGGTATTTTCAATAACGTCATATGGATGCGAAAGCTGGACAGTGAATAAGGAAGATCATAGAAGAATTGATGCCTTTGAATTGTGGTGTTGGAGGAGAATACTAAAAGTGCCATGGGCTGCCAAAAGAACCAATAGATCTGTTTTGGAAGAAGGGCAGCCAGAGTGCTCCTTGGAGGCCAAGACGGCTAAGCTTCGTCTCTCTTACTTTGGACATATTGTCCGGAGGGAACAGGTGCTGGAAAAGGATGTCATGCTGGGTAAGATGGAGGGTCAGAGAAAAAGAGGAAGACCCCTAACGAGATGGATTGGCCAGGTGGCATCATTGGTGGCATCAAGTGTGGCATTGGTAATGAGGTTGGCCCAGGATCGGACATTGTTTCGTTCTGCTGTGCTTGGGGTCGCTATGAGTTGGTTCTGATTCGATGGCACCTGACAACAACAACAACAACAGAGTGGTCAGATTATCAAACCAAAACAGAGGCTAGATAGTTGTAAAGTGGAACTTCCTTGATCCTGTTGGAATTTTTGTTGTTGTTGTTGTTGTTGTTGTTAAAATCAATATGCTGTGAAAATTGCTTTCCAGCTTTGATGACACTTGAACTTTCATACCTTTCAGATGATGGAGAGCTCTGGGTTTGATTCCAGTCTCCAAGGAAGTTTTGTTAGTAAGCAGAAGTATTAGTATCCATAAGTGACAGCAACCTTGTAATCTTCCAGTCAGTTTATGTGAGCCATGAGAAAAATCATGCCATTCACAGAAGTGTGGGCAGAATATAAGGAAGGCACACTGCAAGTGGTTCAGTATAATGTTTGGGCCTGAAACACAAAAAGGGAAAGAGTCAGCTTCTTAAGGAAGCTCATAACACCAATTTCTGCCAAGCAGTCACCAAGGATGCTGTTTGTGAACCTAAGAGAAAGGAACTTAACGACACTGAGGCCCTCTAGTCAGAGAAAATTTAAAGTAGAGGTATGACAGGTGGAAAGGAGAACATAACCAAGGATGAAATGAAAGAATGATGTGAACGTACATTATCTAGAGAGACTAACAGAATAGGCTGGAACAAAAATTACTAAAGCAACTAAAAGGCATTTTTCTGGTATGAAAAGGAAAGGAAACATACCCTGATATTTAAGGTACCTGGTAAAATACTACTTGTATTTTTCATTTTCATTTATTCATTCACTGATTATTTACTGCATGTCACCTGTGTTATAGTGGTGCTGTGAGATAAGCACTGGATCACAAGGGTGGTTTGCACCACAAGGTTGGCACTTCAAACTCACCAGCTGCTCCTTGGAAACCCTGTCTATATGGGGTCACTTTGAGTTGGAACCGACTGGACAGCACTTAACAACAACAACCTGTGTTACAAGCACTGATCTGAATACTTGGGACATGGTGGTAAACAAAATCCCTCTTCTCATGGAGGTTGAATATATCTATCTTAATTTCGTGTTGGAAAGGACAGGATAAATACAGACAGTAGTAAACTAAAAGATAAAATGAAACGGGAAATCGTAAGAACATCTGTTGTTGTTAAGTGCCATCTTTAATGATACTAAATTTATATCTTTTGGTTTGTGAAAAAATTCACCTTAGATATTGGAAAGAACTTCAGTATAAGATTAGCAGGCCATGTTGACAGTGTTTGACAAATTATGGAGACTGTTACACTAGGGACAAAGAAAAAGTTCATTTCAAGAGTAGTTTCTTAATATTTTAGAAAGAATAAGGTAGGAGAGAAAGCCAGAAGGAATTCACTAAAGTTAAGTCATATCATAATAAACTTGAGCTTTTGAGACAATTCCTAGATATGGGTAGAAATAGGAGGATTGCTACTCATAAAGTAAATAGAGTTAGTTCATCATAACAGTTTATTATATTTCTGTGTAAATATTGCGGAAGCTTTGACTACATTATAAGTGTACCATTCAAAACTGAAGGATGAACAATGGAGACTAATTAATCGGATTGACAGGTAGAAGTCTCAAGTGAAATACTTGAGTGCTTCATCCTCATTTTTCAACGCTTCTATTACTGAATTGGTGAAGAACGTAGTGACTTGCAAGGGGTGCTGCTGATAGAAAGGAGTGGGTAACTGATATGTTAAATAATAAAGCTGATCTCTAAAAAAATTTTTGAACAGAACAAAACAATAAGGAGATAAATATATACATACAAATTTCACAAGAATGAATGGCAGGTCCTATAGGAAGGGATACCAAAAAGTATACAGTTTCATTCAAATACATGAGTACTTGCCTTGTCCTAAAGCCAGATATTGTACCCATTTTTTTAAAGGCTTAATGGTGGGAAAGTGAAACTATAAAAAGATAAGTACAGATGAAAGAAATCATACTTATGGGGCATACAGGGATGCCGTCAGCTTCAGAGAGACAGCTACATTTCATCTGGTTTTAAAGATGGAGTGATTATTGTAGACCAGGAAGGTAAGAAGCAGAGCCCCTACCTCAGGTGGAAGAAACAACATGTGCAAAGTCATGAAATTATTAAATAGCATAGTGTGTTTCTAGATTGTATTTGAAGGAGCTGTGGAAGTAATAAAACTGGGACCAAATTGTGAAGGTCATTACATGCTAAGGACTTTGGATTTTACCTTAGTTTTTCCCAACTCAGGGATCTATAATTGTTCCACAGATTGTTGATAATTGTATACCATGAGAAATAATTACTCTGTTTAAAATAAATTTAAACAGGGAAAGGAAGGTTCTTCCCTTTTGCTTTTCTAACTCCAGGTCTTTTGCACATTTTGTTATAATCTTTTTGCGTTGCCCTTAGAAATTTTCTGTTCAGTTATTTTACTTCCTCATCCATATGCTTTTGCATCTCTATCCTGAAGAGCAAGTTTCATCGTATCTTCTGACTTCCATTTTGTTTTTTTGGATTTTTTTGTTTGTTTTTGCTTTTTTTTTCAATGACCGTTTGCTTTCTTCATGTATGATGTTCTTGATGTCATCTGACATCTCTTCTGGTCTTTGGTCATTTAGTGTTATTAGTGTCTAATACATCAAATCTGTTCTTGAGATAGTCCCTAAATTTAGATGGGATATGTTCAAGGTCATATTTGGCTCTTGTGGACTTGTTTTAATTTGCTTCGGCTTCAGCCTGAACTTGCATGTAAGCAGTCGATAGTGTGTTCCACAGTTGGTCTTTGGCCTTGCTTTGGCTGATAATACTGAGCTTTTTCACCCTCTTTTCCCACAGGTGTACTCAATGTGATTCCTGTGTATTCCATCTGTGAGGTCCATGTGTTTAATCGCCTTTTATATTGTTTCAAAAGGTATTTACAATTAATAAATCATTGGTCTTGCAGAATTCTATCATGTGATCTTCCATATCACTTCTAACCCCAAGGCCATATTTTCCAACTATTGATCCTTACTCTTTGTTTCCAACCTTTGCATTGCAATCGCAAATATTTATCAATACATCTTGATTGCATGTTTCATCAGTTTCAGAGTGAAGAAATTGGCTTTAGTTGTTGCTGCATTAGTTTGAATAATAGTGGTATTAGCTGGTCTTTCTTGTAGGTGTATGGATATTATTCTATCACAGAAAACTTTGTCCTTCAATATTCTGGGGCTATTCATACTGTTTTCTTCTTCCAGGACTCTATCTGACATTGTTCCACTGCTGTTCGTAAGCTAAAGAGTAGTAGTCTGCGTATCCTTCTTCCTAGTCTGTCTTCATCTGGACGCTCCCCTGAAACCTGTCCACCATGGGTGACCCTGCTGGTGTATAAAATATCGGTAACATATTCCAGCATCACAGCAACATGCAATCGACTACAGTACAACAAACTGACTAACTAGTATATAGAGAGTTTTTATTACCTCTTTAAGAGGAGTAAACACAAGACAAACATCTAGGTGCTAGAAATCATCAATGACATGATGATGAGGTTTTACAGAGAACAAAGCAATCTCCTCCCACAGCCCTGACCGCAGTAGCTGCTCATCGCATATGCATGCTGGACCTAAGAAAAGCAGGGAGGGGACTATGGCAGATAGGAAAGCTTGCGATCTCTGAGGCACTCTTGAGTGTAGCCTCACAACCAGCTGACCATTGAAAGGTGTGTCCAGGAATGTTCCTGCAAGGTCTGGCTAGGAGAAGTGGCCCCAAACAAACTTTCACATATACTCTGCTCTAACTCTGGCAGTTATGCTACCAGAGATATGTGATGTACTCAAGAAAAATTGGTATCTGACTACTTGAACCCAGACACAAGATGGAATTAAGCTCTGCCTGTCTGGTGTCATTCACAGGCCTTAAGCAAAAGGCCTTAAGATTTTTTGCTCTACAGCTGCGTCCTCTTGGTCAGAGATTGATGGCAGTCACATCAATGACCAACACTTGGACACTGCTGGGTTCCTGGATGGCAACTTAAGGCAAGCTCTTTAAACTCATGGAGATGTTGCACCAGATACCATCTGGTTCTTCACCAGAGCTTCACACAGGAGTGACATCTCCATCAGGCGTATTGTAGAATTGAGCAGAGCCAAATACACAGGCTGATTCCATTTTGAAGATACATACTTGAGGTGCTTCGGGACATCTGTTGAGTCCATTCTGACTCATAGTCGCCTGTTTCTGAGGAACATCTGGTAGGTTTGAACCACCAACCTTTGAGTGAGCAGTCCAGTGGTTATCTCACATTGCCCCACCAGAATTCCTGGGGAAATCTAGTCAGAGGTACATTAGATATACATATCCATGTCTTGACAAAGAAAGGCAGACTGGTTGTAAATCTTCCATGTCTATGTTAAAGCCATGTAGTTAAAACCATGGGTGTGGATTGAGACTGCTTGAAATGGAATCCCTACTGCACTCCTTATATCAAAATAAGTTCAAACTGACCAAAATATAAACATGTTTCTTTTAATGAAGCATGGGAAATTTTTTTCACATATTTGGAGAGGGAAAACAAACTAAGCAAAATCTAGTAACCATATGTCTCAGTTACCCTGTCCTTCTGTAACAAATACCACATGTGGATTCCTGTAACAAGCAGACATTTATTAAATCACAGTTTATTGTTGTTGTTAAAGTGCCATTGAGTCAATTCCAACCCATAGTGACCCTGTATAGGGTTTCCAAGGAGCAGCTGGTGAGCTTGAACAGCCGACCACAGTTTAGGAGATCCGGAATCCAGCTCCAGAGTGCCACCTCTAGAGGAAGCCTTTCATTCTCTGTGCCTCCTGGTTCTAGAAGGTTCCCAGTGAAAGGATTCAAGGTTCAAAGAACCAACGCCATTCTTGGTTCGTCTTTGATAGTCTTAGATACATGATTGCTTCTTTAATCTTTTATATCTCAAAAGAAATTGACTCAAGCTACAACCAAATCATGTAGATTACTTCCTGCCTCATTAGCATCATGCTGTTGTTAGGCGTCCTCCTGTAAGTTCTGACTCATAGTGACCCTATGCACAACAGAATAAAATACTGCCCTGCCCTGTTCTGCACCATCCTCACAATTGTTGATATGTTTCAACCCATTGTTGCTGCCGGTGTTGTCAGTCCATCTCGTCGAGGGTATTTCTCTCTACTAAGCATGATGTCCTTCCCAAGAACTGGTCCCTCCTGACTAGAGATCCATAATACTTAAGATGAAATCTTGCCATCCTGGCTTCTAAGGAGCATTCTGGCTGTACTTCTTCCATTGTTCTGATAATCCACGATACTGTACTGTCAGTATTCTTCGTCAACACCATAATCCAAATGCATCCACTCTTCTATGACCTTCCTTATTCATTGTCTAACTTTTCCACATGCACATGAAGCAATTGAAAGTGCCATGGCTTGGATCAGGCAAAAGTGACATCTTTATTCTTTAAAGTCTTTTGCAGCAGATTTACCTAATACAATACATCGTTTGTTTTCTTGAGTGCTGTTTTCCTCAGCTATGGATGTGGATCGAAGCCAAATGAAGTCTTTGACAACTTCAGTCTTTCTATGTTAGTTTTGATTTAATTATTGGTCCAGTTGTCAAGATTTCTGTTTTCTTTACATTAAGATGCAGTCCATACTAAGGGCTATATATAGTATTTGATCTTTATTAGTATTTCAAATCCTCTTTGCTTTCAGCAAACAATTATGTCATCTGCACATGTGGTTAATGAGTCTCGCTCCAACCCTTATGCCAATTCTTCTTCATGTAACCCAGCTTTTTTACAATTTGCTCAGCATACAGATTGAATTAATATGATGAATGGGTACATCACTGATGTACACCTTTCCTGATTTTTAAACCATTCAGTATCCCCTTATTCTGTTTGAGCCACTGCCTCTTGGTCTATGTGCAGATTCCTCATGAGCACAATTAAACTTTCAGGAATACCCAGTATACAGTGTTACCTGTAGTTATGTTCCACAAAGTCAAATGCCTTTGCATAATCAATAAAGTACAAGTAAACATCTTTCTGGTATTCTGTGCTTTCAGCCAAGGTCTATCTGACAACAGTGATATCACTAGTCCTCTTCTGAATATGGCTTGAATATCTGGCAGCTCCCTGTCGATGTACTGCTGCCACCATTTTTAAATTATCTTCAGTAAAATTTTGCTTTCATGTGATATTAACCATGTTGTTCTTTGATTTCTACATTCCATGGAATGGGCACAAATAAAGATCTTGTCCAATCAGTTGAAACTACCAGCTGTTTCACAGGAGAAAGATGAGACTTTCTGCTCTCATAAAGATTTACAGCCTCAGAAACCCTGTAGAGGGTCACTATGAGTCGGAACCGACTCCACGGCACATAACAACTACAATAACAATGCCTGAGTATTGTCTTTATGTGTTCCATTTCATTTTACAACTTCTAATTTTCCTGATTCATACTTCGTATATTCCATGTTCAGATTATTATTGGATGTCTTCTCATTTTAAATCGTGCCCTATCATCAAATGAAGATCTAAAAAAGCTTTATTCCATTTGTGTCATATAGACCAATTCTACTTTCAGGGGGCAGCTCTTCCTCATATTTTGTGTAGCTTATAACTGAGAGATTCATTTGACACTATATCAGACTGTTCCCTGCTATTCATAAAGTTTTCTCTGGCCAGTTTTTGAGAAGCAGATTGCCAGTTCCTTTTTCCTAGTCTGTCTCAGTCTAGAGGCTCCACTGAAACCTCTCCAACCTGAGTGACCCTTATGATATATGAACTATCAGTAGCATAGCTTCCAACATCACAGCAACACCCAAGACACCAGACAAGTGGTGTATAAATGGGGTTTTTAAACCTAAAAAATGTTCACCTTTACTCATAAAAAACAAATCAAATTTATAACTATAAATTACCATTTTTACCTCTTAAGATTGGCAAAAATCAAAAGACTTTATAAGAATTAACAAAGGAGACGATGATGTGGAGAGATGGAGCAGCTGGGGACTTTAGACACAGAGAAGGAGAGGGCCTGTGTGCTGACGACTGGGGGGCAGGCTTGTAGTGTATACCCTTTGGTTGGTTAATGATGCATGGAGGGGATTGTAACCATAGCAATGAAACGATATGATAGGATGAATGTAAAGCTAATGTTCTCCCATGTAAACTACCGTGTAATTTACAATAAAACATTAAACAAAAAAAAAAAGAATTAATGAAGATATGGAATAACATGCAATTTATATAATGTTGGTGAAATTATAAAATGCTGTACTCTTTGTAAGGAGCTCTGGTAGTATATTGGTTACAAGTCAGGCTGCTAACCTCAGGGTCAGCAGTTTGAAACTACCACCTGTTCCACGGGAGAAAGATGAGACTTTTTGTTCCTGTAAAAAGATCAACAGTGTCGGAAATCTTATACAGTGGCACTCTAAGTTGGAACCAACTCCGTGGCACACCACCACCACCATACTCTTTGTATAACAAATGCAATAGTTTAACAAATACACAACCCTTAAAGTCAGCAATTCCACTTACAGTATGGGATGTACACCATACAGCGTACTGCTCTGCCATTGGAAAAAGTCAGGTAGAGGTTTGTATGGTGACGAGTGTCAATATTAAGATACATTATTAGTGAAAAAAGCAAGGTGCTGAATAGTGAATGCATGTAGTATGCACCCATGAGTAAGGAAAATAAAAAATTTTAATTATACTTGTGCATAGACAATTTTTGGAAGAACACAAAACACAGTGGTGACTGTCCATGAGAAAGTGGACTAGGGTTCACATATGTTTACCAAACAGATGCGTACCTTTCAAAAACAATGAAAAGGCACAATATGCAAGACAGCAAAGAATGGATTACTTTTAAATTACTGAGATCTTTGTAAGAGAAATTTCTGATAAGTATAGTGATTATCTGCTAGAATTATTTTAAGGGTTTGTATTTAAGAAAAAAAAAGCCAGTCAGATCACTTCTTAAAACGTATCCAACTCAGCTTTGGTGATTGTCAATGTAGGAGATTCCATGGATAGTCAAAGCAGCCCTTTTGGTGCTGTAGGATAAGCAGTAGACTTTTAACCACAAGGTTGATAATTCAAATCCACGAGCTGCTCTGCAGGAGAAAGATGAGGCTTTCTGCTCCTCTAAATATTTACAACCTGGGCCACCCTGTACAGGGTCACTATCCATTGGAATCGATTCAGTGGCAGTAAGTGAAAGTAATGGATAGTCAACACAATGATAGATACCTGTGTTAGGCTGACGTACACATTAAACACAAAAATTCTTTCTCTCAATTACAGGTGTTCCAATTTCATCTGCTATTGCTGGTGTAGCTATAGGATTGGTCACCAAAACCAATCCTGAGAAGAGTGAAATAGAAGATTATCGTTTGCTGACAGACATTCTGGCAAGTGTCTTCACACTTTCAAATATATAATGGTGAAAATTGTGTATATTTTATAAGCTTAGGAGACTCCTAGCAGTACTCATGGAGCTAAGGTACTTTGTCCTCCGCAGCATGTTCACCTTGGTTTTTATAGGATCATAGTTGAAAACAAGCATTATCATTTACATACATGATGGGGCTTCAAAGAGTTTTGGGAAATTTCTCACTTCTTTTGGTTCTGTTGGTCCATGAACGTTTTAAACTCCTCACATACATAATGATGTATCACTTTCAGATGATCCTAAAGTAGTCCTTATGCATTTTGGGGAGGAAACATGATCTAGTCATAATTTTTTGGATAAAAGTATTTGTAGCTTTAAAACTGGAATGTATTTGTAGCTCACCAACTGGAGGCAATAGTTAATGTCAAAGATAATTTATGTGTGATCTACTTTAGTATTAGAAGCACTTCAGCTTCTGGAGGGTATTTTGGTCTTTTTTTGTTTTTCTAATCTATAGTGACTGTGGATGAATTTTGGCTTTACTTAAAACCGTATCATAATCTTATAAACTTCTGTAGGGAATTGAAGATTACAATGGTGACATGGATTTCAAAATAGCTGGCACTAATAAGGGCATAACTGCACTACAGGTACTTTTAAAACCCATTTTGTTTGACTTTTGTTATAGCAAAATAGATAGTGTCATGAATCAATATTTATAACATTTGTTGTCTCTTCTAAATTAGGCTGATATTAAATTACCTGGGATACCAATAAAAATTGTAATGGAGGCTATTCAACAAGCTTCAGGTGAGCCATTGTGATTGACTCTCCATTCATAATTGTTGAGTTGTTAAACGAGAACTATAGTGCCCATTTTGTTGTTGTTGTTGTTCGTAAGTTCCATTAAGTTGGTTCTGACTCATAGTGACCCTGCATAGAGTCTCCAAGGCTATAAATCTGTGCATTAGCAGAAAGCCCCATCTTTCTTCCACGGAGCAGCTAGTGGCCTTGAACCACTAAACTTTTGGTTTGCAGTCCTGTGCTTATCCTACAGAAGAACCCCATGGTTCATTTATTGTTGTTGATGTTGTTGTTAAGTGCCATGGAGTCTGTTCTGACTCAATGACCCTGTGTAGGGTTTCTGAGGAGCAGCTGGTGAGCTTGAACCACCGACCATGAAGTTCAAACCAACCTTGCAGCTAAGCACATTAGCCCACACTGTCACACCAGGACTCCGTGCTTCCTTTCGACTTATTTTAAAATATTGCTTTAAAAATGAAATCTCATTTAACTTAACTTACATCAAGAAATGTTTTGTTGATGGATGCATGACTAACTACCAAAGTGAGAGAGCAGTGTAAATCTCATTTTTACAAAGCAGCTCTCTGTGATAGGGTTTATGGAGAAGGAGTGAGTAGATTAATCAAGGTAATTGGGTATGGAGAACTTTATACTAAGCTAAAGAATTTTACTCCATAAATAACAGCTTCATCAGGTCACATTTATTTTATTTAGTTATATTTATTGTGTTTTTATCTCTTCTAGTGGCAAAGAAGGAAATATTACAGATAATGAACAAAACTATTTCAAAACCTCGAGCATCTAGAAAAGAAAATGGGCCTGTTATTGGTAATACATTAAAATCATTGATTTCATGATAATATAAATATATGAAAACATACTGTTGTTGGTGGTAAGTGCTGCCAAGTCAGTTCCTACTTACAGCGACCCTATAAAGGGTTTCCAAGGAGCATTTGGTGGGTTTGAACTGCCAACCGTGTTCAAAGTCCAGTGCTTATCCTACATTACCTCACCAGGAGTTCATATCACTACTTTTAAAATGTTTTACTATATATGCCAAATGAAAAAATTTTGGATATTTTATAATCAAAGTACTTTATATTGAGAGGGACATGCTTGGACATCAGAATTTTCAATATTTTAGCCAAGTATCAAATTTTTTCTTTTTACATATTGAAATGTTTCTGTGTATTTCTAAGCTGTAAAAAGAAACTGTGTGGTGTGACCAGGACATGTTGTAGGTTCATATCTGTATTTGAATTATTTGTGTTTTTTTCTATGTTGCATCCTAGAAACTGTTCAAGTTCCACTCTCAAAACGATCAAAATTTGTTGGACCAGGTGGATATCATTTAAAAAAACTTCAGGCTGAAACAGGTAAGAGTTGTATGAAGCTATGAATTTTTTATTAAATGCTAGTCCATGTAAGTGTGCCATGTTCTGGTGTGGTGCTATATAGGATAAGCACTGGATGCTTACTACAAGGTCAGTGGTTCAAGTTCACCAGCCACTCCTTGGAAACCCTAGACAGGGTCGTGAGCATTGGAACCAATTCGATGACACTTAACAACATGTTGCTTCAAAACTGTGTTTGAGAAATGAAGAGAAAGACAAGAAGAAAAGGATAGGCTTTGTCTTTACTGTAAATTTTCAGCATGTCCTTAGAACTGCCTGCATAGGCGTTCCTAGGCAACAGTTTTTACAGGAGCAAACTAACAGGTGTTTTTCCCCTGAGGCCACTGAGCAGATTTAAACCAGCAGTCTTTTTTGGTTAGCAGTCGAGTGCTTAATCATTGTACCACCAGGGCTCCATCTTAATAAATTGGCAAAAAAAAAAAAAAAATGGTTGTCTTTATCTGTATTCAGAAAGGATGATCAATTTGTGGGTTTTTTTGCAAAACTTGAAATTAAACATCTAGAATAGTTTTTACTTTTTGCTTTAGAGGAGTTATGCTTAATTTTCTTTTACTATTATTACCTTTGCTACTTTCACATAGATAAATTTCAGCTCTTTTATTTAGATATTATGTTAGAAGTAGTATATTTGATTTGATTTTTTTCCTGGAAGTAGTCTTTGGGTTGCATAGTACTTCCCAACTTTGAGGTTACTGAAGGAGGGTGAAAGTAGAGTCACCTTAGCCTGTCCTTAAGATGGAGGATGGAAAAAGGAAACTCACATGATTTCGTCCCTCACCCATCTGTCCACCACTCGAGGGTAAGAGGGGGAAAGGAGACAGGTGATAAAAGCCTTCTAGACTAGTTTCTACTCATAATTTAGAGAACAAAGCCAGCTTTCCAAAATTAGAATTGTGAACTACCAGAAATTGGGACCATTGGTTTACTGATATATCCCTAGGGCCTAGCTCATTGTCAGACACAGAGCAGGTATGCAGTGTTTGTTTGTAGTTCTCTTGTCTCTCTTGTTCCCTGCCGCCTACAGCAGTGATGAAAACAGTAGAGGTGTCTCTGCCCAGGGGCTTCCAGGTCTCTGCTTGCTCTCACCTCCACTTTTCATACTGGTCTCCACTGGAATGGTCAGATTAACTTTAATATGTTAAATTTATCTTTTCAAAGGAGTAACTATTAGTCAGGTAGATGAAGAAACATTTTCTGTATTTGCACCAACACCCAGTGCTATGCATGAAGCAAGAGACTTCATTAGTGAAATCTGCAAAGATGATGTAAGTATAGGTCTTATGAGAGTTACTTTTTTCTACTTTTTGTTGTTGTTTTTATATGACTCTTATGGTTTATTTTGCATTTATAGCAGGAGCAACAGTTAGAATTTGGAGCAGTGTATACCGCCACAATAACTGAAATCAGGTAATTTGTGAGTAATAATATACTTGGTTGGTTTTGAAAAGATATGTATATATATGTATATATACAATTCCAAATAAACTTAGCAATACAGTCATTCCTCTATCCATGGGGAATTGGTTCCAAGATCCCCCTCAAATACATAAATCTTTGGATGTTCAAGTCCCTTATTTAAAATGACTTAGTATTTGCATATAACCTATGCATGTCCTCTCATGTACTTTAAATCATCTCTAGATTGTTTATCTAATACAATTTGAATGCTATATAAACAGTACTGTATGCTCCCTATTAGCCTTTGAGGGATTACTCTTACCAGTTAATTGCTTCCCCTGCCCAACCCCCAAGTGTGGCCCTGTAAGATAAACACTGGACTGCTAACAACAAGATTGGTGGTTCAAACCCACCAGGTACTCCTCGTAAACCTTACACAGGGTTGCTGTGAGTTGGAACTGACTCCACAGCACTAATCAACAACATACCTCCCCACCTCCAAACTTTTGTTCCATAGTTCATTGAATCTGTGGATGTAGAAATCTGCAGATATGAAGGGCCAACTGTATATCCTTTACTTTTATTTATTATTTTGGGGGGCAGTTTCTTATAGACTTGGTTTAAAAATTGCTGTTGTTAAATAAAGGCTGTCAAGTCAGTTCCAACTCATGGCTACCTTATATAGGGTTTCCAAGAGGCTGCTGGTGGGTATGAACTTCTGATCTTGGGGGTGTGTAATAGTCAAGTGCTTCTGCACCATCATACCATGACTCCAAGTATAAAACCAGTGTTACCTAATAACTAATTAGCATATTTTGTTTTAATGCCAATTTCCAACTTAGAGCATTTTTGTATTAGCCAAAAAGATTGGATTTTCAAGATCAAAAAATCCCTTTCTTTAGCTGGGGGAGAAAATGGGTGAATGTTATATGAAAATGCAAAATTATTTGAAATGATTGGTAAGGGACATTACAATGATTTGCTTATAGCAAATGTGTGTTAATGCACCAGACTGCAAAGCCCTTTGAACTGCAAGGTCGTCGGCAGTTCCAGCTCACAAGCTGCTCCTCGGAAACCCCGTACAGGGTCGCTTTGGGTCGGAATTGACTCAACAGCACTTAAAAACAACAACATTAATAGAATATAGGCAAATCACATGAATTTTATTATTTTCCCAGTATATTTAGAAATTAAGTTTACATTATGCTGTAGTCTATTACGTGAGCATTATTAAACAGTTTGAAATGTGGGAATTATCAAAATGTGACACAGAGACACTAAGTGAGCACATACTATTAGTAAAATGGTGTTGATAGAATTGCTCACTGCAGAGTTGTCACAAATCCTCAAGATGTCAAAAATATATTATCTGCTAAGAGCAACAGAACAAGGTATGCTTGTAGAGGAGAAAGGAAAGAGAAAATGTTTCATAAAAACCCCATTCCTCAAATTACTACTTAATGTTGTTGTTGTTAAGTGCCGTTGAGTTGGTGCTGACCAAAAGTGACCCTGTATAGGGTTTCCAAGGAACCCCTGATGGGTTTGAACCACCAACCTTGTGTTTCAAACTGACCTTGTGGTCCAGCACATTATACAGCAGCACCACTCCAGGACTCCTTAAGTATTTAATAGGTTGATGATAGTTCTGCACTATTTTGCTGGTGAGCCTGTAGGAACAGAATTAGAACTATGGCTAGTCTAGGCTAGACCTAGGACTTTGTTTAGTGTTATGGTTATTGACCTAGGACTAGGAGTAAGACTTGGTCTAGTTTTAGAGTTTATTTATTTTATTTAACTGTTTTCTTGAAAACCACTTAATTTCCTCTACTATAATTACATTATGCCCTCTTTATTTTATGATATTTTTATAGCAAACTGGTGTCTCTGGACTCTTATTTTCTGTCTGATAGATTTCTTTTACTTTGTCTGTATGTGGGTTGAGTTCTGGGTGATAGTGTCATACACATTATGTTTTTGTCTGCTGTTGTTAGTTCTTTGTCCAGAGAACTTCCTTTAGTATTTTTTGTAAGGTTGTTCTGGTTTGTGCAAATTATTTTTTTAATTTCTGTATATTTGGGTATGTCCTAATTTCACTATAGATTGATGGACAGTTTTACTGAGTATATGATTCTTGGTTGACATTTTTTTCCTTTCAGAATTTTGTATATGTCATACCATTGTTTTCTTGCCTGCATGATTTCTGCTGAAAAATCAGGACTTACTCTTATTAGTTCTCCTTTGTAATGAATGTTTCATTTTATCCCATGCTGCTCTCAGGATATTTTTCCTTGTGTTTGTTTTTTTAGTTTTGTTTTAATTTATTTAAAGTTTTTATTGTGGATTGAGTGAAAGTTTACAGAGCATATCATCAGTTTTACATTCAACAAATCATATACCTTTTTTCATTACATTGATTATAATCCCCTCCATGTACCATCATTTAACAGTATTTCTCTCTATGCACTTTAGCGTTTTAAAAAACACACAAACAAAAAACCCACTCAGGCATATATAATAATTTACATCTCCAAAGGGCACATTCTGCAAGTCTGCTCTGGGCCACCAGCTCTTAGTCTTTCTCTTCTTAGTCCATGAATCTAGAGTCCTCAGCCGCTTCCCTTCTCCATGCCCCCATCTCTGCCTCCTTCACTGGCACTGCTGCTTCTCTGGTCCCGCATTCTGCTTGTTCATTCCTCTCTTGATGGTCCTAGGGTCCTCTGTTTCTGGACTGTTAATATTAACCACTCCCCTTTATTTACAAAACTTCTACCTTTACAATTGTGACAGTCGTGATTAGTCATGATAACTAACAGTTATTCACTATTGAACTGTAGCTGTTCCAATCTGCTTGTCCTTTCTCCTGGGAATGTCTTACCTCATAAGGTTGTGGATGGGACTCAGGATTCCACCTAAGGTCCTATACTTTGTAGAGGCTTTGCATGAGGCCTATGTCACTGGGCAAGTTGTAGAACCCCTTTTAGGTATTCCAGTCAGTTATGGGCTGAAGACGGGCTTACAAATTTTCTCTAATCATGTTTCCCAACATTTCTCTCTGTCCCACTCAGGTGTCTATTTTACAGTAGTAGGCAAGGGAAACTAATATTCATAAGGCAATCAAGGATTTTACTATTATTTACCCTCTTCAAGCTATACCTAGATCCCTGTGTCTCAGAGCCCTGTTGTTCCAAGGTTGAGTATGCATCACTATTTACCTCTGTCCCACTGGACCATGCAAACCTGTCTCAGTGTTCGCCTATCTATCTTGTTCTTCTGCCTCCTCCCCCCTTCTTGTATTACCCTCCCCAACACCAAAAGTAAGCCCCCCACCACAACCCCATTGTGGTTACCTTATATTCCATTAGTTCTTCCCTCCATTTAAGACTATCTATTTTATCCAGTAATCTACCTGACCTTTCCACCACCTGGATCTCTATTCCTCTGTGTTTACCTTTTTTCACATTGTAATTGTTTTGATCATAGACTGACCTCCCAGATCCTCTGTTCTCATAATTTTATTCTGTTCTTGACTCTTCTATTTGTCGACTGAGTTCAGATTGATGGTGCCATGTACGTCATTCTGTAGTTGTGTTGTCTTTGGTTTTTAAAAGTTTGATTATATCTTGGTGATTTTTGGGGGATTCTATCCTGGTCAGTTTGAACCATAATGTCAGCAGTTCAAATTCACCAGCCGCTTCTTGGAAACCCTATACAGGCTAGCTTTGAGTCGGAATTGATTCAGCAGCACTTAATATAACAATCCTGTTTGGAGTTCATTTAACTTCTTGAATGACTGTCGTCTTGTCTTTTATTTTCCAATTTTCCAAAAATTCTTGGACAATTTTCTCAAATTGTTTTTTTGGGGGGGTCTGTTCCTGTTCTGGTGTGGCGCTGTGGGTTAATGCGCCAGACTGCAAAGCCGTTTGAACAGCAAGGTCGGCGGTTCAAACTCACCAGTCACCCTCGGAAACCCTATACAGGGTCGCCATGGGTCGGAACCGACTCAACAGCACTAAACAACAGTAACATTCCTGTTCTGGAGTCTTGGTGTAGCGCTTTGGGTTAATGTGCTGGACTGCAAGTCGGTTTGTACTGGACCAAGGTGGGCAGTGTAAGCTCACCAGCCACTCCTCAGAAACCAGTACAGAGTCTCTATGAGTCAGAACTGACTCTATGGCACTTTATAACAACAACATTTCTGTTCTGAAATTTCATTCACATGTAAATTATTCCTCATGATAAGTGTCCTTTGTAATTCTTACCATCTCTTTGATTGTTTTATTCTTTTTTTCTGTTTATTCCTCTAGCTGATGATTATTTAGAGATTTGTCTTCAAGCTTAGTAATTCTACCTTCCACTGATTCAGCTCCCTTTCTTTGTCCTTTCAATGTAGTATCTATTTCTGGCTTTCTGTTTGCTGTTTTTGTGTGGTTTCTAACTTTTCATTTCTCTTACCTGTTTTTCTTGTAATGTTTTCTGAATTATTTCACTTTCCTCCCAATTTGTTAAACCTAAATGTCAGTCTTTTGGATTTTTTATCAAATAGTTTCAATACCATTTCTGGTATTATATTCTCTGACTCTCTATTTTGATCACTTGTTTGAGACACTGTTGTTTGTTTTCTCCAAGACATTGTGGTCTCACTATATTTATATTTAATTGATGATTGTGTGTTGCTGTGTTCTCAGACACTCAACACCTGTGTTTTGGTGGATGCGATAGAGACTGAAGTGTGGATACAGTTCCATGTTCACTATTTGTGTAGCATAGTCGCTAGTTTATCTGCCTCCAGAAGCAGGGATGCTATGCCCAGCACCCAGCCCCAGGTAGAGCTCAGGCTGCAGGTAGAGGAGAGAGTGCCACTGATTGCAGGGATGGTAAGGGCAGAAACTAGTCACACACCCCAGCTATGAGGAGGAAATGGGAAAAGGGAGAACTGTACCCTGCTTCCCACCAACCTGCAGTTTCTCCCTGTGCCTACAGGCCACTGGATTGATAGTCCCTCACAAAAGCTCAAGATGGTAGTTGTTCCACTCCAAGCCAACTTTCAGTCTGCCCACTTTTCTTCTCACAACCTGCTTCTGTTCAGAGTCCTCTTCCAGTTGTCATTCAATCCACCTCTCTATCTTACCCTCGGTAGCTGAGGATTCCAGGATCACCATCTGTGTGTTTCACTTGGTCTCCTGAATCTTGGTTACAGAGGGTCAGTGTATCTGTCTACTCCACCATTTTGACCCAGAAGTCTCATAATTCTACATTATTTTAAAATAATTTTTTCTTGGAAAATATGAATAGAAACACAGAGGAAGACTATATATGTTCTAATTTACTTCCCCTTCTTTTTTCTTTTCTCTTTGATCCACTAGTGTGTACATAGAGGAGATTTTTTTTCTGTTGAAAAATAAGCATGTGTTTTAGGTCATCATAGATTTTATAGTTTTAAAAAATATGTACTGGTTTGGGGTATTTTGGTTTGCTTTTGTTTTTTATCTCGCCTATGAAAACATAATCACAACTTGATTTTCAATAGACATATTACAGTAGAAAGTTAATAGTTTAACCAAGCTTCTTCTTTCCTTTTTGTAGAGATACTGGAGTAATGGTGAAATTATACCCAAATATGACTGCAGTACTACTTCATAACACACAGCTCGATCAGCGAAAGGTAAAAGAAAAGGAAAGACAGACATGAGGAGAGAGGGAGGGAGAGAAGGAAGCAAACGTAATTTTTTTTTTAAAAAAGGTTGTTGGGTTTTTTTTGTTTTTTTTAGGAACTTCCATACTGAAATTACCTATGTTGGTGGGAATTTTACTCTACTCTATGTCTATTAATTAGCTCAAGCATAGAGAAACAAAAATGGCAGAGATGCTCCTGGCAAAAGCTTTTACGTTTTTACCACAAATGTTTTGTGCTTTTCCTTTCATGACTGAATAGAAACACTCCCAGTGTTTTGAGGTGGAACATTATTTAGAGCTAGTATATAGCAGTTGCTAAAATTATTGATTGTTGTTAAATGCCGTCGAGTCAGTTCCGAACCTTAGTGACCCTGTATAGGGTTTCCGAGGAGCAGCTGGTGAGCTTGAATTGCTGACCTTTGCAGTTCAAACCAACTTTGCAGTCCAGAGCATTAAATCACAGCGCCACACCACAACTCCAAAATTATCTAGCTAAGCCTATTCCCAATTGTCTTGTGGTCAGTCAGTCATCACAAGATAATTCTTAATGATGTTTTAAATTCTAGTTATATTTGTTGTATTTCATACATCTGGAAGATTTAGTGCATAAGAATATTCAAGAAAATCGTGGGGACAGAAGAATAAAGGGGTATTAGTGTGGCACTGTGGGCTAATGCATCAGACTGCAAAGTCGTTTGAACTACATGGTCAGTAATTCAAGCTTACCAGCTGGTCCTTGGAAACCCAATACAGGGTCACTATGGGTTGGAACCGACTCGACGGCACACAACAACAACATCCTGGTATGGCTCTGTGGGTTAATGCGCTGGACTGCAAGGTTGGTTTAAACCACAAGGTTGGTGGTTCAAGGTTACCAGTCACTCCTCAGAGCACTCACTATAAGTCAGCACTGGCTCCAGGGCACTTAACAACAACAGTCTTACTGTGTATTAAAATTTATTATAAGGCCATAGAAATGAAACAGTATATTACATAGATAATACATGAAACAGGAGATAGAAAAAAAAGAACCTAGAAACAAACCCGGTTATATACATAGGAGCTTAATTGTTGTTGTCGTTGTTGTTGTTGTTGTTAGGTGCCATCGAGTCAGTACCGACAACAGAACGAAACATTGCCCAATCCTGGGCCAACCTCACAGTTGTTACCACCGTTGAGCCCATTGTTGCTGCCACTTTGCCAATCCATCTCGCTGGGGGTCTTCCTCTTTTTCTCGGCCCCTCCACCTTACTAAACATGATATCCTTCTCCAGCAATTGGTCCCTCCTGACAATGTGTCTGAAGTATGAGAGACGAAGTTTGGCCATCTTGGCCTCCAAGGAGCACTCTGGCCGCACTTCTTCCAACACAGATCTGTTTAGGTTCTATGGGCAGCCCATGTCACTTAAATATTCTCCAGCACCATAATTCAAAAGCATAAATTCTTCTACAGTCTTCCTTATTCACTGTCCAGATTTCGCATTTTTATGAGATGATTGAAAATACCATGGCTTGGGTCAGGTGCACCTCAGTCCTCAAGCTGACATCTTTGCTCTTCAACACTTTAAAAAGGTCTTGTGCAGAAGATTTGCCTAATATATACTATAAATTGTATTATTAGATCAATAAAGACAGGATTATTCACTAAATCATATTGATACAACTGATTTTCATTGAGGGAGGGAAAGAAAAACCTAGGCAGGAAAGGTACTCTATAAGAAAATATGAATATTGTCATAGTCTTAAGAATGGAAAAATCTTATTTCAGCATATTAAGGCCGATAACTTAAATAAATTGATAAAATTTGACCTTATAAATATATTTAATTATTTAGCAAGAATCATAGTAAGCAAAATTGAATTACAGGAGAAAATGCGTATAACATATGACATAAGATTAATGTACAAAACGTACATATAATATGCTTAACTAAAATAAGTAAGAAAGATTATTGTCACTGGAAATATGTGCAGGATCATGGATTTGCAAGTTAATTTTTTAAAAAAGAAGCCAACCACAAAACATGAAAAAATATTTATTATTGCCAGCAATTTTTACAAATGCAAATAAACCAAGATTACAAGTTTTTAAACTTTGAGGTAGTCAAAAATTCCCACTGTGGGTAAGAGGCTGGAGTGGGTGTTGGGGACGGGGTATAGACATTCTCATCCCTGTTGATGCAAATGTAAATTGAGACAAGCTTTGAGTACCTTTGGACCTAGAAAGGATAGGGCTTTGTTGTAAGAGGATAATTAGACTGGGTAAATACGTATACAAAGATAATCATTGCAAAATTGTGATTTACTTTCTTCTTCAACTTTTTATTTTGAGGACTTTTAAACCTTCAGAAAACACAAAGTGATGATACACTGGACACCTGCATACTTGTCCTGCACACTCCCAGTTATTGACATTTGCAACTCTAGAATTTAAAACTGATTAGATGACTATCTTTCAGTTATTGACTAAATAAATTATTCATCTTGCATAATCAACTAAGTACTTCATTTTTTTATATGTAAAGATGTCTACAGTATAATGTTGTTGTTGTTGTTATATGCCGTGGAGTCGGTTCCGACTCATAGCGACCCTGTATAGGGTTTCCAACGCTGTAAATCTTTACGGGAGCAGAAAGCCTCATCTTTCTCCCATGGAACAGCTGGTAGTTTCAAACTGTTGACCTTGCAGTTCCCAGCCCGATTTGTAACCACTATGCTACCAGAGCTCCTTACAGCATAATAGTGAGTGAAAAATTAGCAAAGTCAAACCAGTAGGCACAGGAAGGTCCACTTTTTTAAATGGAGTACACATACAGTACTTCATTGACAAAATGCTCACTAGGGTGTTAGCAATGCTAAGTGCCACTGAGTTGGTTCCAACTCATATCGACCCCTGTGCACAACAGAATTATTGCCTGGTCCTGCGACATCCTCACGGTTGTTCGTTTGAGCACACTGTTACTCTCACTGTGTCGGTCCATCTTGTTGAGGGTCTTCCACTTTTTTTGCAGACCCTCTACCAAGCATGATTTCTTTATCCAGGGACAAATATTGGGGTGTTGGATGATATTCACTTCTAAATTATTTTAAATCCTTAAAATTCACAGATTTTATAATCAGAAAAAGCAAAGCTGTTGTTACTTCAGGAGAAAAATGTGGGCTACCATGGATATTAGATAATTAATCACAACCACTAATAAATTAACATGTTCTCTTTCAGATTAGACATCCTACTGCTCTAGGATTAGAAGTTGGCCAAGAAATTCAGGTACCTCTCTATGCCTTACCTTTTAGTTTTAATGTTGGCCATAATGTGGAAATTAAGTTTTATTATTTTTTTCAAAAAGTAAAACTGAAAGAAAAGAATGAATATCTATAGTGTGTGCTCATATGAGGTACTTCTTTTTAAACTGAAGGTTGCTTATACTGATTCATTCAAGATTTTAGACACAAGGAACTTACTAATTAGAACAGTAGTCAACGTTGTTGTTGTTATATGTCGTTGAGTCGGTTCTGACTCATACTGACCCTGTGTAGGGTTTCCGAGGAGCAGCTGGTGGGTTTGAACTGTGGTCAAGTCCAGTGCTTACTGTACAGTGCCACATTAGAAGTCCATAGCTTCCTTGTTGTTGTTATTAAGTGCCATCGAGTCGTTTCTGATTCATAGCAACCCTATATAGGATTTCCAGTGAGCAGCTGGTGAGTTTGAACTGCTGACCCCGGGGTTCAAACTGACCTTGAATTCGAGCATTTATCCTACAGTGCTTAAAAATACATGTGCAAGCCTCTCATGGTTATATAGAGAGCATGATTGGAGACAGGACTTGAGAATTCTGATGAGAGTTTTTTTGTTGTTGCTTTTTGTAAACTCAACTTTTTTTTCACTTTTGAAAAGGCCTTGAGTATCGTATTTGAGGAGTTTAGCCTTTTAATTGCTTTTCTAATCTGTGAGGTTAAACGTTTTTGAGCTTTATAAAACCCATGTTGTTCAGGTCTAGGATTCTGATAACAATTGACCTTTTTTTGTAGTCCTTTATGAGTGGATAAAAGGAGTCATTGCCATTCTGGGTTGTTTTGTTTTGTTTTTTTGTTTTGTTTCTTTTTTGCTGCATCACATTCTGTTCCAGTTACACCTAACACCCGTGACCTGAGTAACTAAGACCTCAAGTTTATCCCCAATCTGTAGTCCATTGTTCAAGTAGCCTCCAGGGAAAGATGAGAACTACAATGTAACATCTCTGCGTAAGGTGGCTTGGTTGGCATTTATTTTGTTTTGCTTTAAATATCAGATGGGACTTAAAAACTGTTGCATTTTCTTCTGTCTTTTATTCAAGGTCAAGTCAAATAAACCCCAGTGTGATGGTCCTTGAGGCATTAGTGAAAATCTGAGTGACCGAAGCATAATCCTGTTTAGTTTAGAACACAGTTAGACTCGGAAAGTCCTTTGTCCAAATCATTCACCATGGCTTTGATTGTTTGCCCTGTGTAGGACACTAGGTTCCACAACCTGGCCCCTTATATCTTCGTCTAAGAATGTTATGTTTTAGTTTTCACATGTAGGTGCTTGATCCATTTTGAACTGTTTTTTTGTGTATGGTCTGAGGCCTAAAAGGAATAAAAAGGTAAAGATGACTCTAATAGATTATAATTGGACTCTATTGCTTTTGTGCAATAGAACCAAGTGCTTATTAGATGGGGGGAAGAGAAGAAAAAGAGTATAATTGTCTAACAAAATGCTACCGACTCTATGCTTTTTTTTATAATTACTACTTAACCAAATTGTGTTTATTCATTAAGCGTATGACTCTGCATTGCATTAAACTATGCTTTCAATGAACAAGTAGAAACATAAATTATTGCCTTATATGGATCATGCAATATTTTTAAATCTTGATTTTTAAAAATCTTTTAATTTGGAAGTTAATCATTGTGCTGTATCTGTAAATCTGTTTCTTTAACATAGGTGAAATACTTTGGCCGTGATCCAGCTGATGGAAGAATGAGGCTTTCTCGTAAAGTGCTTCAGTCTCCAGCTACAGCTATTGTCAAAACTCTGACAGACAGAAGCAGTATTGTAGTGGGAGAACCTGTTTCACAGTCGTCATCTAATTCTTCCTCCCCATGATTGTTTTAAGAGAATTCTAGGATGATAATCAACAGAGCAAAATTCCAGGAGTATCTTCTAAAATGTAGATTTATATATAGTATAAATACATTCTAATTATTTGTACTAAAATGCTCATTTATGTTTGTGGTGCTTTTTATTTCAAAGAGTAACCTATATTCTCTTATCCTTTGTGCTATAAATCAATGAATATTTATTATTAAAAGGAAACATTTATACATCTTAAGAAAGAATACCCTTTAGGATTCGATGTAAAAAATGTAGAAAAAATAGATCACATTTGCTATTCTAAAGAATCTTTCTACACACCTTATTTTTCCTCTTTAAATACTGTAGATACGGTTTTCCTTTAGGCATCCTACAGCTCACTCCCTTGCCCAGTTGCTTTACTTACCTGCAGATATTTCACACACTGGAACTTGAACTTGCCATTTTCAAACTAGTAAGGACTAGAGAGAGCTAGTTTGACCTGTTTTTTAATGATAGGATGCCTGTCAAATTTGTCACAGAACCATAAACCTAGTGAAGTAAATATTATAAATGAAACCCTAAATAGAATGAGATAGTACATTTTTTTAGATTTTCTAAACATGTAAAGAAATTGTTTACTCATCAAATTGTTGTTGTTGTTGTTAAGTGCCATCGAGTCGGGTCCAACCCATAGCGACCCTGTACAGGGTTTCTGAGGGTGTAAATCTTTACGGGAGTAGAAAGCCTCATCTTTCTCCCACGGAGCGGCTGGTAGTTTCGAACCGCTGACCTTAAGGTTTGCAGCCCAATTCGTAACTACTATGCTACCAGAGCTCCTTTACTCATCAAATAGGCCTGGGTAATTTTCTGAGTGTGTCTGTTGCTAGTGTATGGATAGCCTACGAAAGACTGAGAAAGGTAGAAGAGGGATCCTGATTTTTCAGTTAATAAATAGATGTTTGAAACAGTCGGATACAGTGGTTGTTGATGTAATTATTAGTAATATCTATAAGATGGCATTCCATCATATAAAATACATTAATTCCAGAGAAAGTAAATGGCACATAAAAACCGTAACTTAGAAATCCTCTTACAAATCTGAGAAAATATTTATAAATTCAAGCGTCAAGAGTAACTAGTTCATAAAATATTAAAATTTTATCTGACCAAACCAAAGAATTTTAAGAGATCTGTATTTAGCAATACTATGAATTGATTACTTACCTATTATTTATAAAATATCATGTTATGCAGTGTTGATACGCTCTCTGAAATATGTTGTTATTGCAAAGTGCCAACTCATAGCGACCCTATATGAGGTTTCCAAGAATCAGCTGGTGCTTTTGAACTGCCACATATTTGTTCACATTCCAGTACTGATCCTACAGGACTACACCGGGAATCCTCTGAAATATAGAAGATAATTATTTATATTTAATTGCATATAATTGGAAAATGAAATATTGAATTTAAACTTATTTCCTTACTATATTTGGTAGATTGTTCTATTTAATAATGGTGGTGATTGTGTGCCATACAGTCACTTCTGACTCATATCAGCCATGTATAGGAGCCCTGGTGTGGTTCTGTGGGATAAAGCACTGCACCAAAGGTTGGATTCAAACTCACCAGCAACTCCTATACTGGGTCGCTATGAGTCAGAATCAACTCAACGGCACTAAACAACATAGATGGTAAATCTGTATGGAAGTAGAAAAGCCTCATCTTTCTTCCTCGGAGCAACTAGTAAATTTGAACTGCTGACCTTGAGGTTAGCAGCCCAGCTCGTATCTCTTTCCTCATTTCTACCTTATGTATAAAATATAGATAGAAAGATGTTTCAAAATTGTAAGTTTTATCTGTCTCTAAAGATTTCTGTTTTCTTTTTACTTAGGAACTCACAACTGCTACTAATAATGGGAAAATGAAGCCAGTTCTTAAACACCCTATAGAGGCCAGTGTTGTTTGTTGTCACTGTGTCGATTCCAAGTCATAGCCACCCATATGTATAGAGTAGAACTGCTCCTAGGGTTTTCAGGACTGTGACTTTCAGAAGCAGATTATCACAGCTGACATCTGAGGCATGTCTGGGGAGGTCTGAACCACCAACCTTTCAGTTAGTAGTGCAGCCTTAAACAGTTGTGTCATTGAGGAACTCCTCCTGTAGAGACCAAGAGTGCTACAAAATAAAGGTATAATTCATTAACCAGCAAACCAGTAAAATGCCAGTTGTCACTGAGTCAGCTCCTACTCATGGCCACCCCATGTGTGTCAGGATAGGTGAGGACTCATTTTTTTCTTTCAGATGTAGATCACCAACACTCTTCCAAACCCCTTCTAGGTAAACTTTTTTCACCACCACAAACCCACTACCAGGGAGTCAATTCTGATTTATAGCAACCCTATATAGAGTGTCCACTGGAAATCTTTACAAGAGCAAACATCCTCATCTTTCCTCTTCAAAGTGGCTGGTGGGTTTAAACTGCTGACCTTATGTGGCTAGTAGCCCAGTGTGGTAGCCTCCTTTTGCACCACTTTTTTTTTTTTTAACTTTTTTACTGTCAATTGAATGAAGGTTTGCAGACAAGGTCATCAGTTTTGCATTTAACAAATCATAAACTTTGTTTGATCTCAACAATTGAAATTCTCAATGCAACATTTATCTCACTTTCTCCCTGTAGTTCCTATTTCCATTCCACCCACCTTCCCATCCCTTCTCAACTTTGTCCTTATGAAAATGTTGTTCTTTTGGTTTTGAATGATTGACATTCCATGTTGAGCATACTTTACTAGCGTTGTTGTTTCCCTATATACCTGTCTACTGCTTGTCTGGAAATTGGGCATGAGGATGAGTCCCTTTCCAGACCTAAAGAGTAGTTGAGGGCCTTAGTCTCAGGTTCTTCCCATCTGTTTCTGACCAGTAAGCCCAGTCTTTTTTTTTTTTTTTTTAATAATTTTGAGTTTTGTTCTACATTTTCTCCCATTCTATTTGGGATTCTCTAAGGTGACCTTTCAGAGCAGTTGGTAGTGGTAGCTAGGCCCCATCTAGTTCTTCTGGTCTTAGAATCATGGAGACTGATGTTCACATGTTTCATTAGTCTGTTGGACTAATCAATACACCAAGCATTTTCAGTCCTCATCAGTCTTTCTTGTACATATAGAGAGACCAATAGCTGAACAGTGGTTCATGAGCTTTTCAGATCTCAGACACTACTCAAACATTTCTGGTATATATATGTATATATATAGTTGTTGTTGTTGTTGTTAAGTGCCATCAAGTCGGGTTCCCAAGAAGCGGCCAGTGAACTTCAACCAGGACGCCTATATATATCCTACTCTTCCTCCCATCCTCATTGAGCCTGTGTCTCTTTTGTTGTTGTTCTGTGCCGTGGAGTCGGTTCCAACTCATAGTGACTCTGTACAGGGTTTCCGAGGATATAAATCTTTGTGGGAGCAGAAAGCCTCATCTTTCTCCCGTGGAACAGCTGTTAGTTTTGAACTGCTGACCTTGTGGCTCACAGTCCAATTCGTAAACACTATACTACCAGAGCTCCTGTAGGGTCTCCTCTTAACCACCAAAAGGATTCTCAAATTTTAAATCAGGAACTTATACTTTATGTCTCAACTTCCCATTATCTTCCTTCAAATCTTGATAACATTTTTCCACTTTCCAATGAAGTTTTTTATGAGTGGTGCCATAGAACAAGCACTTGACCTTAAGGTCTGTGGTTCAAACTCAACAGCCACTCCTCGGAAACCCTATACAGGGTAACTGTGAGTCGGAACCAACTCAACAGCACTCAACAACAACAACATTACATGTTAGGAGCCCTGGTGTGGAGCTGTAGGATGATACACTGGCCCACAGGTCGGTTTGAATGCAGGGTCGGCAATTCAAACTCACCAGCAGCTCCTTGGAAACCCTGTACAGGGTTGCTATGGGTAGGAACAGATTCAACGGCATTTAACAGTAAGAGCAACATTATATGCTAAAAGCTCAACTGCAGTATATAGTAATGTAGATTAGGTGCCTGTTTTTTGATAGTTAACTCAAAGCATGAACTTTGTATTCGTATCAACACACAGGCTCCTAAGTCACTATTGTGTCTTCTGTAGTCATTTTTTTTCTTTGCTTATAGGATATCTTGAATTTCTGTATCTAACCATGAGTATCAGTTCAGCCAAAGATAGTTATTCAACATTTAGTAGGTGCCAGATACTATTCTGTGGGCGGAGAACCAAACAGTCACCAAGCATAAAGCTCCAGTGCTCCCATTGTAGTGGAGCAAAACAAGCACACAAGTCAGATAACCAAGTTGGGTAAGGGAATAGAGTGACAAAGGACTCACTACTTTAGATAATGGAGGTCAGCCTTACTGTGTAGGTAACACTTGGGCAGAGACCTGAGTGAAGCTAAGGAACAATAGAGGACTATAGAACAGCTTTTTTTTTTTTCATTTTATAAAACGCTTTCACATAGTCTTACTCTGTAATCTTATGTCTGTTCTTATCCAGAATTAGGAAACAAAGTTTATTTTTAAATGTAACCCAACAGTAGGTGGCCAGTGCAAGTTAATATTTTCAAAAGCATTTGATCAGATAAAAAACGCTTAGTTACTTGCAAGGAGGAAGACACTGGAATGGTCTGGGAAGTTAACAGGCTCTTTTTCTGTAAAATCCCAGGCTCAATGGAGTTGAGACTAGGTAGTAAGTAGTAGGAATGGGAAAGAGAGTATGTTTTAGTTAGATTCATTGGGTGGTAAGGTAAAGAATCCATCAAAGCTAAAGCAAAACCAAATCATTGCTGTCAAATCAATTCCAAGTAACTCATGACCCCAAGAATGTCAGAGTTAATCACATAGACGCGAGTTTATTTCATAGAGGCCAAGTCACACTTCATGTTTGTAACTGGAACCAGGACTTCCAAGTCATTAGAAACTAAGGTGCTGCCAACTATACCTTCTCTACTTTTCTTATAAAGTCAACATGACCTCATTTGTGCTGTTTTCAGATGCTAAATAAAACGGGAATTTCATATATTCAGAAAAGAAACTGCAACGTAAGTATATCCAGTGCACTGTTAGAGATAGACTGAGAAATTTAAGTGCTCTGTATTATTTTCTTAGTAACCCTGAACGTAA